TTACACTTTTTTTTCTCAGTGTACTATAACAAAGCTAGAAAGATTATTTACTTTAATCAAGAATTAACAAGAAAAATATTTTGCATAGAGTTATACATATTTGTTTAAATTTTAGCAAATAAAATAACGCAAATTATTTAAAAACAATTAGTTTCTAAATTGATTAAATAATCGTTATTAAAAAGAAAATTGTCATCCTCTAATAATAATACTCAAATACAATAAATAATTTTCAAAATTCTTATAAGTAAACGTAAAACGTAAAATTCGATAAAACGAGGTAGAATAAAACGACGTCCGCATAGTCAATCTAATCTTCTAGCTGCGCCACTGACGCTAGTGATCAGCAGTCAGTGGATCGACGACGGATAACCGCGTTTAGGATTTAGTGTCGAGCTTTTCCAGGGAAGACATAAAATAGTCGCAGGTGCATCGTCAGCCCCGACATAAACGCCCGCGCGTATACGCAAACGGTATACACATGCAACGGGAGCTACGGATTTTGCATCACGATAGAGATCCGATGCAAATGCGAGATCGGGTCGAAGACGAAACACCTGCACCGGTCCATTCTCCTTGCTGCCCGAAGAAATTTATCGGTTGGATTTGTATTCACATCGTGGGACGCTACTTCCGGTCTGGATCAACGCGTGAGATCGAGATCACTTCAATCGTACATTGCACACATTGTTATCACGCTTGAATTTTTTGGTACAAAGCCCAGGAACGGCTAGTAAAGTTTAAAATTTCATAATTTTTTTGCATAGCGGACAACTACTTATAATACTTTCTCCGGTCGAAAAAAGCTCTTCCGGCTTTCTGAACCGCGCGAATCTTTTTTCTCTACTGCCGTACATTGCACACATTGTTAGCACGCTTGAATTTTTTGGTACAAGGCCCAGGAACTGCTAGTAAAGTTTAAAATTTCATAATTTTTGTGCATAGCGGACAACTACTTATAATACTTTCTCCGGTCGAAAAGAGCTCTTCCGGTTTTCTGAACCGCGCGAATCTTTTTTCCTCTACTGCCGTACATTGCACACATTGTTATCACGCTTGAATTTTTTGGTACAAAGCCCAGGAACGGCTAGTAAAGTTTAAAATTTCATAATTTTTTTGCATAGCGGACAACTACTTATAATACTTTCTCCGGTCGAAAAAAGCTCTTCCGGCTTTCTGAACCGCGCGAATCTTTTTTCTCTACTGCCGTACATTGCACACATTGTTAGCACGCTTGAATTTTTTGGTACAAAGCCCAGGAACTGCTAGTAAAGTTTAAAATTTCATTGAAGGATTGAAGGAAAGAATTATTACTACGGTGACAACGAGCTTTTTATCAACTGATTAATTTTTTAAATTATTAAAACTTAATTGAACTGATTAAATTAACTTATAAAAGAATGTGCATGAATGTGCAAAATGGATGTGCAAAAGAATGTGTTTAACTCTGCAATCGTAAATCAACAACGTAGATTTCGATCAATTGTCAAGCATATTCTTGCTTGCGTGCAGTAACGTCAAAGTAGAAATACGACAAACGAATACTAGCGTGAAGAACCGAAGAATCTAGCCACGAAATCATCATAAAATAACATATGAATTCTTTTGTTCGGAATACAAGATTTTCCTGTTTCCTATGCACGAACGCTCGACTATTTGCAACGTTACAGCTTAACCGTAAATCAAATTCCAGGTGTCTTCCGGTAGCCGATTGATTCGAAGAAAAGCCGCGATTTCTTTTGCATTACGTACGCAGAAAAACAACAGATGCGTAATATAATTTCATTCTTTAATGACGGGGAATTTGCATACGCGACAAATCACTTCGCAATATTATTGCTCAGGCTTATGAAAGATAATGTTAAGAGTATGACTAATAAAATGAAAACATTACAATGCGTGTATCTATAATAAATTCGCGAGAAGAGTAATCATAAAACGTGAAGAAGACATTAAATTAAAAAACCATAAAATTCTAAAAAAGATACGAATTTAAAAATCAGAATTCAATTAAGTCAGAAATCCACAGAAGATTTAATATGACAACCGATTATAAAGACAAAGAATTGTTGTATCTATCAAAAGCTGTAGGGATATAAAATCACTAAATAAAGAAGTTACAGAACTAAGAATTTATAATATAATAAATAATAAATCTCGTTATATATATGTATGATCTTTATAATGAAACTGATACTTTACTTATAGCTATATACTTAGCGACTTTACTTATTAATGTTAATCGCGCAAAAGTCAATTGAAGAAACAAAAAGAATATTACGCGAGCAAATGAGCTCGAAGATGAAAAATTGTGTAGAACGATGTACAATATTTTTGGACGTGCGTGTCACGTGCCGTAGATGCATCGCGTAGCGAGGTGCATCGACACGACGCATGGCGATCGTGCTAGCGGCTGTCTTTTGAGGGCGGGCTGCCATATTTCAGCCAACCAATCTTTTTTTTCGGCTCGCGTACAAACGCGGAATGCCTGACAATTGGCCTGTCATTGCGGCGATCGTATTGTGAGATCGTGACATACCGTCGTCAATAAGGATGTATTCGTAAAGAAACCGTATTCAAATTATGTTTGTCAGCGTTTCAAGAAAATTTACTATGCCATTTTTCTTTCAAAAAAAAGAAGCTGTGCTTTGTTAACGATAATAATACGCAAAGGTATGTGTTTAAATTTAGAATTATTAATTTTGTATGATCGAAAATCCTAATAATGACTTGATAATAAATATCAATGACTTCGTTAAATTGATTATTTTTTAATTATTTATAGATTCTCATTTTTAAAGTAAATATTATTCCGTTTTAATAAGATCATCTTGTTTGACGAATTTGAAAAAAGTCAAAAGAGAAGAATAATTTTGCGAGCGCTCAATGATAAAGCTAGGAATGTTATGACACAGAAGAATTTTATTATCCTTTTTGTTACATGAACCGTGGCCTAAAAGTTCATCGAAAGAGGTGTGATCACAGATGAGGGTGTGGAGGGTCGTGCGGTTGTCCTCGGCGTGTAGAATTTTCACCGTTTCCGAGATTTCAGCAAGTATCCCGCGACGCCCAGATCCAGATACCTGAAATTGTTAAATTAAACTTTTTTAATTGTCATGTAAGTTCATTCACATACAATTAACTAAATTATAAATATAAAAATCCTTGTTTTGAACATCCTGCGTATAAATTGTCTTGTCTTTGACTAATTGCTTTTAAAATTAAATGCATAAAATGTCTCCAATTTTGTGATACAACTCAGATTCTATTTCGAAAATTTTGCGTTTAGCGTAATTAATATTTTTAAAGTTACATTATCGAACGAGAATTATTTAGAAAATTATTCGTTCAATTTTTGTAGTTCAACTATTGGTGAATAATAATTGCTGAAGATTTAGTAATATTATATCAATAACTATTATTTAAGATTTCGTAGCTTTATTAAAAAAATTAATCATGCATGTATATACATACATTGTAATTTATCATCAATACTTAAAACTTAAAACTTAAAACTGTCATTAATACTTTGATATTTTAGACATCAATTAATTCGAATCGGAATTTTATTGATAATTCAATAAACAAGAAAGACAGTTCTTTACCTCCTTCGCATTGTAATGCCACGTTTCTCTCTTTTTTCCGGCGTAATACGGCTTCCATCGGCGAAAACGAGTCTGGACGCAATTGCAGTCGGTCTTTCCGGTGGACCAGTAGTTGCTGACGGCACATTCGACAATAAACTTTTGCCTTGACGATTTTCTTTTGATTTTCTTCTGACATTTAAGTCCGATGATACGATAATTTCATCAAATTGCTGGCCGAAAAATGCTACGCAATTAAAGACAAAGTGAACTATTTAATAAATTACTGAAGAAAATTAAATTTAATAGATTCATAAATTTACATCTAATTTAGCTAAATTTTTTAGATAAAGGTTTTCTTTATAAGAATAGAAATACGAAAATGAAGTTTTTATTAATTGATTAAATTTGTGCAAAAGAGAATTTAAAATATCTTATTAAATTTAATTAATTTAGCTTTGCATATAATTTATTTTCTTGCAAAAATATATAACAAAAGTCTTAAAAAATTCTGTAACTAATATATTTTTTATTGCATTACTTACGTTTTTCATTAGATGCCGGCTCTTGAGCATTGGTTATGACACAGACTGAAGTGAAAAGTAAAAGGGCCAAAATTTTTATCATTTTGTAACGGGAAATTTAATATGTCCAAGGATCGAAATTTTTGTTACCCTGCAAAGTAAGCAAACGAAAATAATGCATGAGAAACAAATTAACAAAGTTTTCAATAAAATTTTTTGGTGGAACATTTCCATAATCGAATTTTTCACACATTCTTTTACTCAAACTTTGATAAAGCGAAATCTTTATAACTTGAAGATTTTTTATAGCTGGTCCCTTGAGATTCGAGTTATCAAAGTTCCGCTGTATTGTTATTAAACTTTATAATAACAAAATTTATAATAACATATTTAAATTATTATTAATATATCTGTTATAAATATGTTATTATAATTATCTAATTAATACCTCATTATTTCTTTATCATTACCTAATCGTCGACGCATATATGAAACAAAAAAGTTGTACAAAGCGATAAATCCTCGAATAATGGAAATTGATTTTTATTCTTTCATTTACAGACTATTTACATATTTACAAACTTACCAGACACACACATCGATAGCAAAAATTACCGATTTTTTTCAATTTCATCAAACGAAGACATTATGCTAACTGATTACTATTATTCTTGCGTCATGCTTGAGTATTCAGAAATTCTGAACATCCGTTAATTCCAGGTAGAATCATTAAACGGCCTTCGACAATTTTGCAATCACCATTCGTAAGAGCGCGAGTTCGAAGAATTACTAATCGAGTCACTTTCTAGAGCAATCAGCATTGGTAGAATATCTTACGTAAAAGTAAAAGATTGTGCAACTCAATGACGTTATCGCAGTTGCACGATCACTCTGTAGCATGATCTCTTATAGATCATAATTAAATATTAGAAAATAATAATCTTCAAAAAATATTAATAATGTGTAATTAGTATATTATAATAAATCCGAGTAAAAATTTATTAAGTTAAAAAAATATTGTATTAGAAAGAATTTATAAAAGATTTGCATATTTAAAATAGAATAAAAGCACGTACGAATCATAATGGTCTCGATTTGCATGCATTTTTTTCAAAACGTTAATCAACTTTCTCTTTACTCAAATTTTTCTTTTAAAAAGTGAAAGCCTATTTCTTTTTTATTATAATTAATTAATCACGCTGATCGTGTTATCATTTTCGAACACATTTAAATATAATATAGATTGAACAAAAAAAGATACAAAGTGCCGTATCGTTCGAAAAAGTAAGTCGTACCGAGTTAAACACTACGATTAATTCTTATCACTGCTATCTTCGCGCGTCATCCTCGCCTTCGATCTTGCGAAACGACGGAACGAGACTGAACCAATGCGATTTCACTTACTTGTATCATGGACCTCGGACTTAACACTTAGTACTTAGCAGTATACGTATCTCGACTTACCGGCAATAAGTTGAGGATATACTTTCCGAGTCGACAACCGCACGAGAAATGCGAGCATAATGACGCGGGAGCCTTCAAGAAAGCATCGCGGGTATGCTATAGTGTGTGGAGAACAGGAACAGATCCATGGGTACCACCGGGAGGAGGTGCTTTAAAGGCGTCATATACTGTAGTTTGTTGCACCGGCCGGACCACTTTCTATTTCATTTTTTTTCCTCTCGATTCTCTCCCCCTCTCTCCCTCTCTCTCTCATTTGATCTCTCCTTCTGTTTATCTGGACGACTCTCGTACTCCCGTCTCTCTCTCTTTTTACTCAGACGGAGAGACTGGTTTACCGGCTGGCAGGGCCGTAGGTGTCCAGGAGCGGCTAAACAATGGTTAACGACAAGACAGTCTTTTAACGAGCCTTTTTGACACATCTCGGATGTCGTCGATGTCACTTCTTCAAGATGGACGTTGCTAACATTCAAAAATGCCAATTTCAATTAAGAACCGCTCGATTCCAGGAAAGAATTTTTCTTCTACATAAATCAAGAGAATGTAAGATCGTTGATTGAAGTAGGAATTTCATAACAATGAGACGCTAATGAAATGAAGTAGTTGAATTGATATTTCAATTGTATTTTAACGAAGAGTTGAAACGGGATTCCAGTTTCTTGCGGACCCTAGCCGACTTCGGGGCGCAAAAGATAACACGTTTAATGATCTTCCGTAGTTTACGAAATAACAGGGTACCTCATCCAATAAACCGCGGTTAATATCACAGCGGATCTTTAACGAGCAAGCAATTTCTCAAACGTTCTTCAGTCTCTGTTTCTGGCGAATATTTTCGCGATTATTATTCATGAAAAAGAACAAGGAGGGATCAATTAATTTAATTATTATTTCATAAAATTGTTTTTCTATTTTTTTCCTACAAGTCTCTTTATTTTTATTTGTTCGTCGTTTAAAAAGATTGCGATAATTAAACATTTACTAGTAGAGATCACTAGAATTATAAGATTGGTCCATTGGTGTGTTCTTCGCTAAATAACAAATAAATTGTTTCTCGCCGAAGATATTCACGACTTTCTTCAACAAGCGCATCTCATGCATCCATCCTCGAGGGCGCCGCTCCTCCTGGCTGTCCGAGGAGAGGAGAGTGAAGAGAGTATCTCGAAACGGAGGATGCTACGCCGGCGAAGATCGCGTGTACGGTTCGTCCGGTCATTGCACGGGGCTTTTCGGATCTCGATTTCAGAAGCCCTTGCTCTTAACAGGGCCCTCCTCCCTTCGGCTTCCTATCCCTTTGTGCCGTTTATCCAGCGACCCTCCGTCTCGCGGCGTCTCCTCCCTACTTCGCCGTTCTTCGTGATCCCTCCATCCTTGTTCCTCTCGCGTCAGATTTGCCCTCCGTCTTGCTTGTTCGCGCGCGAATCGCGGCGCTACGTCGCGATATTTTGTCGGTTTTATTTTGGAGAACATCTGGTGGCTGGCATGCGGACAAAGGGAACTTGCTCGCTCAGGAAATCCTCTCGCAGGAGGCAAGAGGGTGGCTCGCGCACGCGGTTAGGCTTATTTACTTGCTCCTAGTGAGTGACGTAGAATGTTTGTAAACAATGGGCCCACAATGATGGCGGAGAGACGATGATGCTGAAATAAATTAGGGGTGGATCCGCGTAGCTGCTCCCGGGATCTGCGGAGAATAGGAAACGTTTAACATTCAAATTCATGTATTATGTTCGCTTCCATTAATATGATTACTAAACCGGCTGCGCGAATATATAATTGCTTGAAAGTAGTAAAGAGAGAGAAAGAGTTTCGGATAAAATTGAGAATTTCTGTTGCTTGTTAACTCTGACTTCGGAACGATGAGACGGCAGATAAAGATACTCGTGCTTTTTTAAAAGGAAAAATACGTCGTGCAAAAGAAGCAGTTTTTATTTTTAACATGTTCGGCTGAGTCATCTTTAATGAAAAGAGGTAAGCCTCTAGCAGCCTCCTAACTACATTTAACGATTGTGCAGCGAAGGTTGCGTCGACAGGATTACATATGTTTAGAGTCGCATTATGAAAACGGCTATCATTGTTTCCCGATTACAGTGCAACGTAATAAAACGTTTATACGGAGTTATGCAAAGAAAAAAAACAAATGTTGAAGATGCCGACTTACAAGCGCGTTTTAAAAAATTCAGAAATAATATATATCGCACAAAACTACGTAGAATTAATTTAAAATATTAGCTAAAGAACCGATCTCTAAAGATTCAAAATAAAATAATTCGCCGGTACACAGCTCGTCGGATTTGTAAAACGCATCGTTAAGCTCAGGGTTTAAAAATCGGTATCAATCCTGTTATGCTTGTTTTCTACGTTAGCAATCCGAAACGATCCGATTTAAACTCGCTCGCTCGATCCCCGAGTTCTCTGACTCCCTTCGAACGAACAATAGCCATTTACTTGCATGTCCAAGCGTCGCAAGTGTGTGCATAATCGACACTCCGATTCGCGTGTAGGTGCATCTCTCGGGAGACGAAAACAGACCGGTTCGTCGCGCCGAGAGAGAGAGAAAGGGAGCGTCGTACCTAAACCCTACGAGTCCCAAAACAACAATATGGCGTCTGGCTGTCCCTTTAAAACGAGTTAATCCGTCTGTCTGGCCGTCTGCCGATCGCCTGAGAACCAAGAAGATTCATTTCCCCTTTGTTCATTCTTTTTCACACGTACCCCGAAAAGGGCCGTGTGCCTCAATGGCACAATGCGCGAACGTCGCGCCAGCTCACATTCGCGAAGCCTTTCCGGACAGGTCCCATAAACGTACATGCACACTCACATATATGTAAATTCGAATACACGTACACACACACATACACACACACGTACACACTCATACATAAACGCACACATTTGCACGGCTATAAACGCCTCTCTCTCGCGTACACAAGCGCATACTCCAGCGAAAGTGAAATACACCCGTATATCCCCGGCAAAGATTGTTGCGTCTTCGGGGTCCGCCGTTGGGCCCGCCGCGCCGGACAGATGTTTCAGGCCCGTTTCATCCGCGTTGCAGGGTCAGCGCAGCGCGGGGTGTCAGGGGGCACAACGAGATCGCGGTAATATAATGCGAATCGCGGATTCCCGGACCCGACCTCCGGGCCCCTCGAGTTCGTTGACCTATGCCCGAGACGAGTCCGGCGCAATTTCGTGGGCGGCCGCAGCGTATTATGTTGCAGCGCAACATCCTTGGGCTTTAACCCTTCTTAGGATGCGAAAGATGCGAACTTCTCGGTATTCTATGATATGTGAATATTTGTATAGAATACTAATATAAGATAATAATAACAAGTTATAATTTTAGAATAAAAAGTATAAAATTATTTCGATTTTTTTGCATAGAATGTAATTTTTACAAGCAACGGAAATAATGTTTGTTAGAATGTATAAAATTTTAACCTTCTATTTTTCAAAATAAGAAAGATATAATCTGTTTACATTACAATAATAATATGATTAAAATACAAATTAACCAATTGATTATACAGTAAATTAATATTTACATATTATATTTTGGCAATAATCGCATCATATTATTTAACGTTTGTATAATGAGACTCTAATTGATTTAGATAAATAATCAATGAAATAAACATACCTATGGGTTTGCCATATATAATTAGAATAGGATCCAGCCCAAGATGCTTACCGTTTCAAGGATTCAGAATCCGTTTTGTCCCGACGAGGATTGAGCAGCGCTGAATGAGGCTGAGAAAGGCCCGATGTTAAAACTCGCGCTCTGTGCATTCGCCTGGTTGTGTCCTCCGCCATAAGGACCACCTCCACCTATAGATCCTGCTGATGCTGAGGCAAAAGACGCGCCTTGTCCGGTATGGTGATGGCCGCCGTAGTCCGGTTGCCATCTGCGTGAATCAGAAGTAAAATGCAAACGGTTATCTCATTTCAGTTCACCATGTATTACATTGTAAAAAATTGCAGATTTTTCTTAACTTATAAATGATAAGATAATTTAAATGTTCATATTTGTATATGTAAAATAGCAATTATTATTATGTTTTTTAATTATGTGAAATGATATTCTACCCTCCGTAGCCACAGCCATAACCACGACAGCCATAACCATGTCCTCCAATTAAACCATGTGGCTTATGGTGATGAAGAGGTTTATAGTGATGATACTTTCGTTTGCTTCCGTAACGGAAATAGCGCGTGTCATCATTGTAATCATAATCACTATAACCACCTAACAAACCGAATTGCGGCGATCTTTGCTCTCTCGTGACTTCTAAAATAATATATTTACTTCATTATATATGAATAATATCCTAGTTTAAATGATATCTTAGAGATCATTAATATACAACTTTTTCTAAAAGAAGAATAAAGCTAAAAGATTAGAGAAGTTGTATAAACATCATACATGCGAATAAAAAATGAAAACATTTTTACCTTATTTTTGTAATTAAAATTTTTTAATAATTTTTTTTCTAAAGACAAATTTGTTTCAAAAAATCTTAACCTGTTAAATTTAAAATTTTTATTACTAACCAATTTCGGATGTTTCGTTTACAATCGAAGTAACGGGATCTAACACATCAGAATTAGTAACATTTTCCGTCGGTTTGCCGAATGATTCTTTTAAAAAAATGGCACTAATTGCTATTATTAAAAGTAAACTTTTCATCGTGGAACGGAAGTATCACTGTTACTTGTTGAACGTCTAAAAAACGATTCAAAGGTGGTCTTCCGTTTCATGTGCTTTTATAGTCCCTTCACCGTCGAAATTCAAGGAAAGTCATTTGCAATTTCACAATATCGGTAACTCGAATGTTAAGAGACGGTCATTGGTCTTCGAAAAGTGGACGACCTTCCGTGCCGTTTCCAGGGACGACCGGAAGTAGGCCGAAGACTAGCATAGGTTTACACAAACGGAATCCCCACGCCGATTGATATTGACACAAGTTTGATTTCGATTGCGCGTTTTCGAAAGTATTACACATTCACTTAAACTTGCTCTCGTGTTATGTACATACTTCTCACAGTCTATATGGAAAAGAAGATACTCCTTTTTTTTGCGTGCGCTATTTCTTAATTTAATATTAATTTAAATATTATCATTCACTAATGCAATGCACTATAATCATTATATGGTTTTATATTCGACAAACATAACGATATATTGCATTATTTATTCGTTAAATGTCCATTTAACATTTGAGAGAAAGAGAAAAAACATATATTTTTATTTATACATAAATTATATTAATTATATTAAATTATATTAATATATTTAAAAAATTCTATGGAGTAGTCGACCTTTCACTGTTCATGAACAGGAAGAGGAAGTAAAAACTAAAGATAAACATATATGCACGGATAAAATTCTTACAACAGGTTTTAATGTGTAATAATTTTGACCACACGTCCAACAATATTTTTGCTACGCCCATTTGGACTTATATATTTTCTGTATATAAATAATTTCGTGTATATAATTTTCATTTTCACTTTTCAGAGAAATTAAAATAATTTTTTTTAATATCAGAATTACTTTAAATACTTCGTGAAATATTAATATTATAGAAAAATTTTACACCATTAATTATATGTATATAAAAAATTTGACAATTTAATATTGGCTTTAAAAAAACGCGTACAATTGTGGGATGTATGTTTAATAATATTCGTAAACTAAGAAAGACAAAATCGCTCAAGGAAACTTACTTTGCAATTGAGAAAAATGTGATAATAATAGTTATTATACCTATTTCAACGATAATTCGAGGTAATATTTAAAATCTGTTTAAGAATAAAGACTGCCGTTTATCTTTTCAGACATTTTTGAAAATTTTCTTTGTCGTAGATATATTATTAATTATATTCTGCAATAATATTATACATATTACATATTATGTTTTTTTTTTTTTAAGTATACATCTCTTTGTCAGTTGCCGCTTATTGATTAATTATTATTGATCTGAAAGAGAAAAGAAGATGGATATGAGGTGAGATGGATAATACGTTGATTGCGAAAATTAAAACATTGCATCGGTGTCGAAAAGGTCATAAATTTTATTAAATTCTATGTTCACAAGTCACGCAATAATATATTACATAAGAATGCATAAAAACACGTCAAATCCATTAAACACTTACATATATATACGTGTAACGATAACGCGTGATAATAAACGGTAATTCTGAGAAACCACTGTACAAATGACATGCGCAGCGCGTGAAAAACGATTATTAATAATTACGTATTAATTGCGACAATCGCGTAACAATTCGTAGATTCGGATAAATATCATATACATTATGATTGATTCTGATATCTTTCTCTCTTTAGTTTTCTCTTTTTGTTATGCTCTCTCTCTCTCTCCCTTTCTCTCTCTCTCTCTCTCTCTCTCTCTCCCTTTCTCTCTCTCTCCCTCTCTTTCTGCAACTTTGCGATTCTCTCTTCCGTTTTCCTCGTTCGTACTCTCGCGCAGAACAAGTCCGACGAGTTTTTATCCCCGTTGTTTCCGACACTCCAGAGATGCCTGCCATCGTGAGAATAAAGACAAAGAGAGATGTTACCGGTACCAATCGCGCGAATGCTGTTATTCTTCGATTTCGTAAAAATGTATGAGGATGTAAAACACGCTCAATTTTATCATCGAGTATTACCTTTACGAGTGGCACAGTTAGGATCGCATTTATCCTTCGGGATCTGAAGTAGTAATTAACACGAGATTTCCTGTTCCGTATATCAATATTATATATTATATAAAATGAAAAGATATTACAAAAAAATAAGGAATAAATAGATAAATTGTATAGAGTTACTTTAACCGGGATTTTTTAATTTTATTAATCACATTTGCAAAAACTTTAATAATATCTTTATTATTATATATTTCATTGGCACGTTTTATGTAAATCACAGATCCAGAGTTCAAAGGAAGCGATCTACACGCAGCTAATTATATATAATTTAAGTACGCTTATAAATATAAAGAGAGTATTAAATTAAGTTGCTTTAAGTGTCTAAATATATTGTATATATGTGTATTAAAATCATTCCGATCACAGAATATCTCGGATAAGTATAAAAGTAATTTAATCTGAGGCAGATACGTCATTATTAATCTAAAAACGGATTCGTCTATAGATTACAGTTCCGTGTTTAGCCAAAAATCTATTGTCTTAAATTCTAATGTATTGTAATTTTAATCTTACGCATTTCATCGTATCGAGCGAAATAATGTTCGATCTGCCTCCAATAAGCGATTTGCAATACGAATACTTGCCCTTACACATTTTCTAATAAATGCACAAGATTGTTTATCCATTTTCAAAGTCGAACTAATTTCGATTCTGAGAAGAGCTCTAATATACAATACATAATTTTTAAGAATACGTTAAAATTTATAACTCGTGATTATAAATTTAAACGTATCAATAGGCAGTTGTTATGATATATACTTATATAATTTTTTTTAAATTAATTTAAAATTCTCGTCAGAAATTGGGCAATGTCATATATTCGCACTGGTTACGTTTCTTCGTGAAACATTTAAATATAAATCGGAGTATTACGTCGCTCTTATGGCCAAGCAAACGAGTGTCTCCTCGTTTCCTCATCGGTCTGCTTCGTCGTATCACAATGTTTAACTGAAGATCAGCATGTCCCTGGTGTCAGCTGATGCCGACGCGTGACTTGAAGCCGAACTTTTTGAATCACCGTTCAATGAAGACGCGTTGCTGGATGCGTCGGCTTTCGCGGATCCCGATCCATCGGTGAAGGCCGACGATTTGCTGTCCGCTGATGCCGATCCACCGCCGGACGCGATCGCGTTGGAGGACGCCTGAGCATTGGCGTTTGAGCCTGCGGGATAGCGAATCATTTAATTACGATCAGTCCCGACGCCACAGCATCCGCCATGGATGACGCTGACGCCTTGAGCTCGGGGCTTAGGTCTGTGGAAAAGTGAAACACGAAAAGCTCTGTTATGATCGATGATTTCAATGGACATACAAACACAAATTATGAATGTGGAGCGTCTGATAGATGGGGCACCCGATGGATTTTCCTATCGGAATGCTGAAGTCTTTTTTATCATCTTTCCATCCAATAGCATTCGTAATCCATGAACGAAGATGCTGGAAGCGTGCGCGATAATGTGATACTTGATGTTCTGCTACTTGGAAATTTTGCGATGAACGATTCGTGAACACGGTCATTAATCGACAATGATATAAGACTCTGAATAATTTTTCATCTCTTAGAATACGCGGAATAAATTATACGCTGGGGATTGTTAGGAGAGACGCATCGTTTGTTCGATGATTCGTCTGAACGATGGATATTTACATATAATAGGATGTTACGTGTCAAAGACGTCAACAAGGCATTACATAATGACGATAACAATTAAAAGAAGTTATGTTTATTCTTAATGAAATAGTAACTATTTTAGCAACCAATTTTTTAAAAACACATATATACCTCCTCCGACTGATCCGCCGTATCCGCCTTGACCACCATATTCTCCGGCATGTCCTGTTCCTTTAATGCCGTTTCCGTATCCACCAAGGACACCACCGGAATTTCCAGCTTGAGCATTGGCATTACTATTGGCATTAGCATTGGAAGAACCTCCGCCATATTCACCGACGATTAGAGAACCACATTGTATACATCCACCGTGACCACTGGGCGAGCCTCCGCCGAATCCCTCGTGACCTCCAGATCCTCCGAGAATAGTTCCATGACCGCCGGCGGCTCCGGCATTGCCGTTAGCGTTGGCGTTAGCGTTGGCGTTAGCGTTGGCGCCGGAAGAACCTCCAGCATGTCCGCTGGGAATGTTTGTACCACCGTTTCCAAATCCACCGCCGCCTTGACCACCAAAAGAGCCTCCGCCGAGTCCTCCGTGACCTCCGGATCCTCCGTTGAATCCTCCGTGACCTCCGGATTCTCCGCCGAATCCTCCGTGGCCTCCAGATCCTCCTAGAATAGTTCCATGACCGCCGCCGGCTCCGGCATTGGCATTAGCATTAGCGTTGGCACCAGAAGAACCTCCAGCATGTCCGCCGTGAATGTTTCCACCAACGTTTCCAAGTCCACCACCTTGACCACCGAAAGATCCTCCGCCGTATTCCCCGTGATTTCCAGATCCCCCGTTGAATTCTCCGTGACCTCCAGATTCTCCGCCGAATCCTCCGTGGCCTCCAGATCCTCCGAGAACGGGTCCATGACCGCCGGATCCTCCGAGAATAGTTCCATGACCACCGGCGTTAGCATTGGCGTTAGAATTAGCACTAGACGAACCACCTTGTCCTCCGTATCCACCGAAGCTCGGACCGGTTCCGTGACCTTCATAACCACCAAGAACCATTCCTGAAGAACCGCCATGTCCGCCGGAGCCTATCGGATGTTCTTTTATCGGTCCGTATCCTCCTCCGACACCACCGGTTCCAGCGCCGGCATTGGCATTGGCGTTGGCGCCAGCATTGGCTCCGAGCGGGCCCGGGAATCCTACTCCGGATGATTGTCCTGGATATGTATTCGGAATGTTTTGTTTCTGGCCCAAAATGTTTTGACTTCCTGGATAAGTTGCGCCTCCTCCGCCATTGTGGGACCCGCCATTAAGAAATAAATTATTCGCGCCTATCGGTTGTTCTCCAGCAGCTTCAGCATTAGCATTAGCATTGGCATTGGCATTGGCATTGGCACCGACATTGCCACTGGAAAGTGGCGTGCCGGGATTCAGAAAAATATTCTTGGAGCCATCAAACGGCTCTTCGTGCCCTGATTCTGCTGGGTAACTACCTCCTTGTTGATATCCACCGTATCCACCATTACCGTATCCTCCCAGAACACCTCCGCTGTGTCCGCCCGCACCTGCCTGAGCGTTAGCATTAGCATTGGCGTTAGTGTTAGCGTTTGATCCCCCAAAAAGATGGCCTTTATATCCAGGAGTCTCTTGAACGCCGCCATGTCCATAGCCATTAGCTGTAAAAAAATATTTTAAAATGTAATTTTTTTAATTATATTTATATAACATAACATTATACATTATATGATATAATACATATATGAAAACATGACGTTACAGATATGAAAACTATTTAAATTATCACGTGATACGAAAGTCACGAAGTTCATGCTCTCAGTCTCAGTCACGCATAACGTCAAATTCTTCGTTCCGTGTCTTTTCCATTTACAGTGCGTGTCAGGATGAGGAAAACAGCGAAAGTACATTATCAGCAGCGTCCTTGTTTCTTGTTGTCATTACAGGAATGTTCTATTAAATGTATACCGAGATTTTCAACCTTCAACTCGACTATGGCAAATGTAGAAAATGTCTTCCGGTTTACATATCCTTGAATGCGACTTCCGTCCGTTATAAAATCTGTACAAGATGTTTCGATCGGCGAAGTAAAAAAGGTACACGAAACGATGCACATTAATCACATAAATTAAGTAAAATTAGTTGTACACAAAGAAACAGATTATTCACAATTAAGTATCTCGAGTAGCCGTTATTAAATTCTAATTCTGGCATCAGTTAATTACCACCATTGTACACCCTACGATAAGATATACATATATATGACGAGTAACACAGCGAAGTAATTAATTATTGACATATAACTTCCATGAAGAATTACATAAAGAGAGTGTAAAAAATTCATGGAACTGTCATCATAGTTAGTATACATTAGAATTTCAAGACGGTAATCGTGCGATGACTTTCAAATGCGCTCGATCATGAAGTGTCACCTGGATTAGGCCCCGATTCCTCGATGATGATTATCTCGATGGGCTGTTGCTTCGGTTTACCGCCATAATGCGGTCGACGGTGTTGGTGGTGATGGGGAAGGCTCGGACGATAATACGGCGGATATTGCGGGGTTTCCTCGACAACGACAATCACATCTTCTTTACTAGGTGGCCGGTGGGGTATCGAATGGATTACAGACGGGGTTGGTTGAGAGATCGGCAGCGTGTTTACGGGAATGACTTCTATTTTATCTATTTCTCTGCCAGGATATTTGTTGGGGATCACATTTACGCCGCCACTACCTATGACGTTCGCACCCGCGTTCGCGTTAGCGTTAGCGTTGCCGAAAGTCTGGGGTCCAGAAAGTAGTCGGTGGGGTATCGGATGGATTGCAGACGGGGTAGATTGAGAGAGCGGTAGCGTGTCTACGGCAATGACTTCTATTCTATCTATTTCTCCGCCAGGATATTTGTTGGGGATCACATTTACAACGCCACTACCTAAGACGTTCGCATGCGCGTTCGCATTAGCGTTAGCGTTGCCAATACCCTGAGGTCTAGAAGGATAATAAGAGGGACCAACCGGATGCCCTCCGCCATTGCCGTTGGCGATGGCATTGGCATTCGCGTTTGCGTTAGCGTTAGCACTGGACTGAGAGCCACCGTAACTTCCGTAATTCGGTTGATTGACTTGTTGATGAGAAACGCCAGGATAATAACCGCCGTTCCCGCCATTGCCAAAATACCCCCCGGGGTTTCCCGAAGAACCTATGTTAAAAGCATGTCATTCATTAACGTGTAATGTGTTATTGATGATAATAATATGATAAGAATGATAATAATAAAAATAAAAACACGAGCGTATAAACAGAAATCTGAATAAGAAAATTAATTGTTAGAAAATAATAAAATAGTTACAAATAATTAAAAACTGAAGTTATCAAAGTATTATAACACATAGTAAAAACAATTGAAATTTTGTTAAGATATCTTGTTAAAAAGCTTCTTAAAAATTTATAATACCTTCAAGATATCCCACATAAAAGCACGAGATATTTTTATAAGATATAATTATTATAATGTACAAATGCAGAACTCAGTTTATCCATATTCCATTTATATAAACAAGTTTGTATTCAGTTCCAAATATACAAACTCATACCTGAGCTCTTATTATCTGAAGATAATAAGAATTCGACTTTAGTTTTCTGAACATCAGCTCTTATTATCGGAACTAAAAAGTCCGATAATCCTCCCTCGATCCGAACTATTTGGTTATCGGAACTATTTTGTTCTTTGATATATTCAAATAAATAAAAAGTTCTACTGTAAAAAAATTTTATGGTAACTGAAACATATTCGAGACATTTAGAATTTCAGTAGAATTTTCCATAGATTTTTGACTGTTGTGTGAGTTACTTCGACATAAAATTCTACTTAACCGCACGTTAACAAAAGTTTAAAACTATAGAAACATGTCTTTATTTATGTACATACATCAGATACGCGAGCCTACCTTGTGCATTAGCATTGGCAGATGCTTGCGCATTCGCGTTCGCGTTCGCACCACCGTATCCGTGAGCTTGAGCATCTGCTTTTGCTGAAGCCGAAGCTGAGCCACCGGCGCTGTTCGCCGATGCCGATGACGAGGCCGAGGAGAATCCACCGCCAATCCCGATAGGCCCGATATTCAGGTTTCCTCCCAATGACTGAGCGTTGCTGCTAGCCTGAGCATTGCTACCTTTAGGCCTGAAGACTCCTAACGGATCCAGTAAACGGCCGACGTTGCTGCCATGGATTAAATCGCCTAATACACCTTCACAAATAAAATACTATAAGTTGTCGAAGATATTAATTGATATATTATATTTACTATTTTCTGCACGCTTCACAATTTTTTGCTTTCATCTGTTAATTATTCTAAAAATTTACTATCCTGCTACAAATATTTAAATTTATCGGAAAAAAATCAATGGTGTTATTTGATTTTTTTTTAATTTCGCGAAAAGAACAAAAATTATTTTGATATGACACAATTTTCTCAAACCGGGAATGATGTCATTATTATATAAATATCTGAAAATCAATCTGGCATAAATTTTCTTTGAATTCGTCGTAAAAAAAAAGGAAAAAAAACTTCCTTTTAATTTGAAACTCACCAGGTCTCGCGGAGACGTTTTTAATCAACAGCAGCACCACCACCGGCACCAAACATCTAAACAACCTCATAATGATTTTCACTTTCGCAATTAAACGGTTCGTCTATCACACACAGTATTCCTCCTTGTTTTTTCTGTCTCGCCGATATCTCGATGGTCGGAGAGTCAAGAGCGACTGAAGCTCTCGCACGAGGACAACAACTTATATACGACACACGCGTGGATTTTACGTCGAACAATAATTGACCCTCTCTTTCTCTCCTCGTAGCGTTTCCAATGTGATCCAGTGCCTTCGTTTAGGATTCTCTATAATCTTTCATTTCCACGAAATCAATATCGATTTCAAGAAGTATTACATTTTGAAAGCAATATATATTATACTTTTACGCTAAAAATTAATACAATTTTAGCGTTAGAGATAATCGTTACATTAAATATCTATTTCGAAAATGATTGGTAAAAGCTGATCAAACGACAAAAATTTTGCCGCTTGACAAAACAAGATTGTCACTCATAATCAAGGTCCGCTTATTTCGATGAAGTATTTTATACATTTTTAATCTCAAAACTTATTCCTTTCCGTCGATTGAAGAATGATTAAACAGGAACATTATAATAAAAAGAGACATGTTTGGGTGATCTTATGTTAGCTTTAACTATTATTAACAAATAAATTTTCAGAAAAGTATAAAAAAAAGAAGAAAAAAAAGAGAAAGAAAGGGTGAAAAGGAAATTATATTAGATTTATTTAGTTTTTTCTTCTTAATTTTTTAATGCATCTGATTAAATAAATCAATTTTCTTTTATAAACCATTTAAAAGTTCCTTATTTGAAAAAATAATTACAAATATTGTTATTAAAATATTATTTCTGACAAAATAAAGACGTATTATTCTCAGCTTTTGCATAAGCATAATAAATTAATTTAATACAAGAAAAATATTGATTCCCAAACAGTTTTAACGATGTGACAAAGTCATTTGCAATTTAAGCAGTTAAGATGACATATCTCGTATGCACGTGTACGGATTTCACTGAATTCTGTCTCCTTTTTATATCGATGACTACTGCAATCAACAATCTTAGATAAATGATTAAAGATATTTCTTACTTTATTTTTTTTGAGGATGTGAAATTATAATTATATAAAAAACATTCAAGTTTCTAAAGCTTATTGACTTACAAACGACATTTTAATTATTTTGTTAATCGTGCAAGAGAAACATTTTAATAAAAGCTATGCTCGTATAACCATGTCAAAATTTATAAAATATGTTTTTAAATCTAACATCTCTTATACAAATTAAATATAACGTCTCTTATACAAATTATTAATAATTTCGTTGATTCTTCTGAGAAAGAAATCTTTCGTGCAGCAAAGAAGAATTCAGAAAAAAATTTGGCTCATAAAAATACAGACAAGCAACAGCCAAATGCAATAAAAGAGGAGAATTATTATTCTTTTTCTCTATTTTTCCACAAAATTAGCATAAATGATGGTAATCAACTTACGCAGATACACGTCGTATGTAAGCGCCATCCGTGCATCTAAAAAAAGATTGCAAATTATATACATGCGATGTAGTTATAATTGAGGAAAATTGATAACAGACATAAAATTGACAATATTAACCAGAAATATTAATGTCTTTTCCATATTTTATATCACTCGCTAAACGTTCATAAAAAAAATCAAATTTAATAATCATTATCAGAAACTATATTATATGAGAATTGAATATAAAAAGTAAATTAAAATGCAGGGAAAAACCAATGAGTGCATGGAAGTAACGACCTGGATGATTTGAAATAGGGGAAATAAAAATTGCAGTCCTCGAAACACACTCTCTTTTGCAATGACAAACGAATCTTGATGGCTTCAACGATGAGGTTCTACAATATATAGGTCAAGGAAAGAATATAATAAAGCGGAAAAGAAAGATAAATTCTGTTCGAGTTTTTTTCAAATTTGGCATATTTAATATATTATTATATAATTATATTGGTACACTTATATAGTTAAAATATTTAATTTTTTTGCAAGACATTTAATCTTAAAGTTTAAATTAAAAGTTTGATCCTATGTAATGTTTAAACTTGGCTGCTACGGTTTTTTACAGTATTAACATCTTTATAACATTATAATCTTTTATAAAAATTTAAAGTGCTTTACAGATGATATTTCGTCGAATATTTTGGAAAATTATTAAATAATATTGCTTACATTTAGCCCAGGGATCAGTTATTGTAAATTAGTAATGCTTGCAGTCAATCAATTAGCACGAAGCAGTAGTCGATTTAACCAGTCACAAACACGATGCTATTTCACAGATTCTATCTTCCAGCTTCTTGCGAAACCTGTATCGTTCCGGTTCTTCAAGGTCAGGTTCAATGACTGGCCATCGATGAATTAACAACTGCTTGTAGAAATCTTTGGGTAACGCCCAAAACTCCTAAAATTTATAAAAATTACGACTTGCAATTTAGCATCAGTAATATTTAATTTAGTCGTACAATATTACATTCACAAATGCAAATATATTCTTTATGTCTATCAAATTTTGTTGTACATATTGTTATGTAATATTTTGTTTTAACTAATTCTGTAATTGGATATTGAAATCATTTATACTAATTTTATGGAAAGATTAAGAGAAAATGATACACTTTCTTTTTAGCATTCAGTTATTGCTTGTCTATATTTATGAATCAAATTTTTATAATAATATATGTGCAAATGAAATTTAAAATATATAATATAAAAGAATATTTATCTCACTTATAAATAGAAACTCTAATAATTTCTGAGGAATAAACGAATAAGACAGTGTGAACGTTTTCTTTTAATGTACTAAATTCATTTGTTATCAGTTAACATATGTAACTGTTTTACATAATTAACTGCAAATTTCCCTGTTAGAAAAGGGGAATCCTTTGATCATAAATTCAAAAACTGCATTACTCAGAATTAGTTGAATAATCAAACGGAGCTCGATTTCGTTCCAAGTAGATTTGCAAGCGACCGGAAAATAAACAATTATCTTTGACGATAATACGGTCGGCCTCGTTGCTAATCATAAGCGCACATAGATGTTCGTATACGTGATGGGCGTCCGATCTTCACTTTGTGATAGTAGTTCGTTATTTCCATCTGCGTCATAATATGCGACGAATGACGAACGTGAATGAGCTGCTTGATTCCTATATGAGTGAGTTTTTCAGCTAATAACTTTCTAATCTTTAATTCAAGTTGCAATTTCATGTCAACTGGTCCATGAGGGACTAATCGTGCATTTTAACTTCGGGGAATCCCCATGATACAACCAAGGCAAGTTTGTGTCAGCTTGTAAAGTAAACGACATTTTTATCTTAAAATCATCTGTTTAAACCCTTAATATAAAATTATTAATATAAAAAAAAGTTTTTATACCTTTTATCATATCAATCAATGATTTAATAATTGACGGTTTAATTAATAACTTGATGCTCAGAAAGATACATGACGCAAAAAAACAATGATTTGGTTGATGCTGTAAAATGAATAAATCAATATTAAATGAATCGAGAATGTCAATATTACGGAATAAAGTCACATCGTGAATGTAAAATCCACGGGGAATCTTCGAGCATTTCTAATGACTCACCCTATTACCTGTGCAGCTCAGCCGAGCGACAAAATTTGGTGTCAGTCAGGAAAACCCAATCGTTTGGCTTACGTGCTTTAACTGCGGTATTTACTATACCTGACGAGACACGACGAACAATGACGTAATTCATGTATTCTCGTGGGCGGCGGACTTATTAATCATCCATTGTTTAGAACTGAATTGTTACTAATCATCGAAAATTTACAGCAATAATGTATAACGTATCACATGTCACATGCTTCAGTCAAGATGCTAATTAATTTATAAAATTACTAAAGTAATTATATAAATTTTACAACTGAATTTGAAACCAAAACTGTTGTTCAAAGTCTTTTTTAAAGTTTTCACTGATATATAGTTTTATAGTTTTTATTAACGTTTTACAATGTATAGCTTCTTTAATTATTAACGTCGATTATCGTATGTCTTATTCATTTATAATATGTTATGTGTGAATCTTTTGCATGCATCTTTTTCAGTGTATCTTACTGTGTCAATCATCAGTACAGTAACGTTTTGTTACATCTTCTAAATTGCAACAATTATTCGCGCTTGCTTGGAGCTGTTAGCGCGCGTATAGAACGTGTTTGACTAGTGTAAAAAATCACTGATATTGCGCGCAATGTCGAGGTCAAAGCCAATCTTTATTTTTCAATATTATTATTTATTGCTTCTTCCTAGTCACGCATTCTATATTCTTCGTAAAGATATTACGCCACGAAAGCAGGAAACGTTTAATGTTTATTTGACGATCTATCCGTTATTATCACGACGATTCATGCATTTCTGTGTATTTTATGATCATTCGATCGATACATTCGTTATTAAATAATAAATATATCAAAGATTAGAATTTAACATCTTACAATTAAATATAAATGCATAATGTATTTGTATTTGGTTATATACCCAATTATTTGCAAACTTTTACATTTTCACTGTGTATATAACGTCAAATGGAATTATAATTTTTAACAATTGTGGATTACGCATTATAAATATTCATAAATCGTCGAGACATTTAATATTTACAGATTAAATTTAACAACTGTCGTTAATATTTATCTAAAATTATTAATATTAAAAATATAAATGTAGTAATCAAAATAAAGACAAACCATGTTTTGTATTTGATACTTTATTTCATAGACAGAACAAGTACAGAGGTGGATGCAAATACTTGGTCTGGATGGAAAAATTATACAAAGTATTTACTAACTACAAATAACGTCTTTTTAAAGGTAGGGAATTTGAGATTGTTGAATCTCTTAATAATTGTTCAATTAAAAACCACAGCATAATATCATGCACATATGTTAATATGACTTCATAGAAAAGTACGTAAAGGTTTCGTCATAAAATACATGTCTTACTGTCGCATGTCTACTAATACTGCAATTAATTCTCACGAATAGATCATGTAAAAAAATTATACGTCTCTTAATATGGATTATAAACAGTTTTATCTTATATAAATTCTATTTTTTTATTAACAAAAAGTTACGGAATCATATATCCACCTCTCACATAAAACGATTACGTTCTCACGTACGTATAATAATGTTATTGTCACATCTTTTGTTCATTTCATCAAAATATAAGATCAGGTTTTCCTCTACGTAAAGCGATCCTAATTAATTCATTCGAAAATAGTCGTCTAATATACGTAGCATATACATCGCTACATTAGCGTCAATCTTAATTGTTAGTTAACGCATTTGCGAAAAATTGACTTTTCCAGCCTTTTTGCATCTGTCGGCACATTTATAATAGCGCAATAACAACAGTATGGCGGTACCGAGTACTCGCTCATACACTGACAAATAATTACATAATTGCACTCGGAATTGGCGTTATCCGTTTAACTATTTATCTATATGGAAACAACATATATACTATTCTATGTATCATAGTCGACATATTATTTGGAAGAGATAGACTATAATATAGTATTCCGTCTATCACGTCAATGCCTAATTCTTTCACTGTCAATGACATAAAAATTATCTGCGCAGATTATCTGTTCTTTTTCAAATAATATAAATGATAAAGTAATTACAAAGGATACATATAATTATAGTTTTAACATAAACGTAAATTGTTTTAAGAACATAGTTAAAAAATAGGAGACATTGTTTATAAAATATTATATGGATTAAAATATTATGTAAAGTAATATTTTTCAAAAATTTCGCTCCTATTGACGTTTCGCTCATATTAACTTGCGAAATAGTAGACATTCTTTTCTAAGACGGATATACATTCCATATCGTCGAAGAATCTCTAAAACTACTACGGAAAACACATTCAGAAAGATATGTTTAACGGACGATTCACGCGCGATTTGTTACGGAGAATTTCCACGAGATAACATCTGTATTTTCCGATTGGCTCGTTATCCATCTATTTATGCGCCATTGTAGAAAAATGCATTACTATTTCTACAATTAAATAGAGGAATAATAAGCGCCACTGTGTCGGGACGATGTATCTTCAATATCTTAAAAATTATTGTTTTCATATTATTTAAATTAAACAGATTTAAAAATATGAGAGAAAGAGAAATTAGAAAGTAAAAAACGGAATTATTGAATAAAACGTTTCTTATAAATACTTTACGTGTATTAACATTAACGTGTACTATATACTTATTTAGATTTTTCAATTTACATAATTCTTATTTCAAACGTAAGCATTTTTCTGATTATGTATTTCGCTGTCTCGTCGCAACATCATTATTATCAACAAATCGATCTCAAACGTTTATTTCCGAAACAGCTATCCTTTTTTCACTTTTAAGGCAGACTCACTCTTACATCAAAAAACATGAAAATTTATTCCTGCTCTGTCGCACGTAATAAATAATACAATTAAAACATTTTTAAGAATTGTTCATGTACTCATGTACATGTATAATTGAGATATAAAGTATGCAATCCGTTGTGATCTATTAATGAGCTATAAATAATTACATAAAGAATATTTTGCTAAAGATTAAACTAAAACTATTTCAATTCTTTCCATAGAAATTCAATTTCTGAAGAACCTTTAGATTCTTTAGAAATTCAATTTCTAAAGAACCGGATAACATTTGGTTTGTATTTTAATAATCTAATTGTACTTTTATTGATCTGATATGTAAATTAGAAATTTTTCAAATGCGAAAAAAATCGAAGCATACCTTAAAGGGTCAATACATAATAATCAATAGTGAAGGATACGAGGTAGAAGTAATGTATAAATTAATGAAATGATGATAGAGTTTCACGGTCTTCTAATACTAAACTAAATCATGAAAAAAAGACGCATACGTAACATTAATCACAGTTAGTTTTAATCTGAGGTTGCTCAATACTGAGATAACTCTATCGCGCGTAAGTGGAACGAGGTCACGTGTTCAAAAAATAATATAATTATTGTTCTCCGTTATTGTCCGTTTAAGGCTGATGTAAATTTTTTTATATTAAAGTTGTTGAAACAAAAATATATATTCACTAATTGAAAATAATTATTATACATATAAATAAGTTATATAGAATAATTCTATATTATACATAATCTGTACGTGTTGTATCATTCAAATAGTAATGTTAAAAAGTATTCGTATTATATAGAATAAAAACGTATTTTTTTGAGACCTCGTTCTGTTATTATTACGATCGATACGTTGTATCTCGTTTCTTTCTGTATTCAACATAAGTTTGAGGCTTTCACATAAGTCCTTGTTCCCACCCTCACCCTCGACTCACTCCAGTTTTGGACGTAAATTCATCATCGTCATTTATCATTCACGATTGCACCGCTGTTTCCGGTGGTTTACGACACGAGTCGTTGTCTTCATTAATGCTCTCATTCTGTTTGTTTTCTAGCTCGGTCTTACGAACGAGAGCGTAGTTGTTCAAATATTCCACTACCTGCATGTGCCCGAAAGTCTCGGCTTCGTCCACCGGTCGTTTGCCCCATCTCAAAATACAATATTTTTAAATTCAGTTGAATGAAAAAAATAATAGTTTGCCAAAGCAAACATATGCAATTTCTTTTCTATTCCGAACGTAAAAATAAAAAATGTACAGCTTTGAAACAGACCAATTATTTATAATAATGGCGAAAAATTTGCTGCCAGAATACTAAATTGTTAAAATAACTTTTGAAACAACACTCAAATCATACCTGTCCTTGGGATCATGTGGGACTCCGCAATGCTCGATCAGAAACTCGACGCAATCTAGATGACCTTCGCTGGCGGCCAAGTGCAACGCGGTTCTGCCGTCGTAATCTGACAGTGTCATATCCATCCCACTCAATCGATGTCTGAAATTACGAGCGTTCGATAATAATCAAAATTAATACGACTGTAATCTAATATATTGCTTTTCGCCTCTGTTAAACTTCACGTTGATACTTCGTGTAAACTCTCTCAAATACAAAAATGTCATATGACAAAAAAATGAGACGCACGCGTTCATCTTTATTAAACAGGTTTTTAAAAGAGTATCTCACCTTCTCATCGCTGTGACGTCACCACTGGCAGCACTGAACAGAAGATTAACGATCGAGAGGCCTTTCGTTTCGTATTTGTGCCGTCTAGGATCTCTCTTATTCGTTGCGTGCTTTAGATTATCGTACCTGTAGTCATAATGTGAAATAACTGAGCAACACAAAATAGACAGAACGAAAAAAAAGAAGTTGAGTTCCAGTTTGTGTAACGCTTGATGTAAATTACAAAAGTTCCAGTTTGTGTAACGCTTGATGTAAATTACAAAAAAACAGAAAATTGAGACAAATTGAAAAAAAGTATTTTTTAATGATAAAACATATAGACAGTACATTTAAATTTGTCTTAATTAAGTCAAACACTTAATTAAGAAAAATAATGTAAAGGCTTGAAATAATTTTTCATAACTGCTAATTAACTTCCTTTGCTTTTCAAGATAAATAATGATTTTTGATGAACTGTATCGTCACCTGTGGAAATTAAATTCGCGCACGAGCTCCTCGCAGAATTGTACACCACGACAGGAATTGCCAAGCGGATCCAAGGGTGGCGACCACGTGCAAATTCCCATGACATTTGGAATTACCACAAGAAGGCTTCCTGATACACCGGATTTCGCCGGTATACCAACCTAGAATATATAATGTTCTTCGATATAGCATTGATTTCTATTAAAGTTTTACGTCGATATTATTAACATCGTACAATAAATAAATTATCCGTGCTATAAGTTGCAAAGCATATTAATCAACTTATATAATAAAGCACAAATTTTTATACTAAATTATAATAATTATATTAAGCCACAATTGTTACTTATGTATCCGAAAAATATGAATCTTTTAATCTTGTATGCTCTTTAAACCATTTATTAGTTAAATTCCCAAAATTACACGTGCATTTCTAACTCACTTTGAACGCGAATTGACCGCTATAATCGTACATGCCGCAGCTGTGCATAAGACTCAGAACATCGCGGACGCTGTCTGGTTTTAGGACCTTCTCTTCAGTAATCGGACAAATTCCGCCATTTGCTAGGGTGGCTGCCATTATTGCCATCGTCTCGCAATTCGCTTCCATGGCGCAGCACTTAATTAAAAATAAAATTTATTGTCAGAGCGTTGCGTATGCACAAGTTACCGAAATAGAAATAGAAGTGGTTTATTCTGATGCCTCAGTATTGTAGGCACGTGAAATTTAAAGACATATACCGCGAATTATATTAATAAAATAATTAAAATGTCATATTTAAAAATTTATATAAAGGAGATTGTTCTATAAAAAGATATAGAAAATTATATTTTCGTGTATATACTCATAAAATATTTTTAAAAAATCTCAATTTTTATTCATAATAATTGAAAAAAAGCTCTTGCAATGCTTTGTTTAAATAACTTCAATAATTACACACTGAAGAAATATTTACCTGAAAATAAAAATCCATAACTTCCTGCAGATTCGTCTTTTCCGGGTAACATTTGTGCTCCCTCATGTAAAATCCTAAAGCGTAATTTCGATCGGCCGCCTCTCGCTCCGACAGAAAAACAGCATTGTTAAAGCCGAGATTCTCACCGCCGGCCAATCTTTTAAAATAATTCATGGCAAAATCGAATTTCTCTGCTAGACCCATGTCCGGCTTGACTAACGTTTTCAGAAGTGAGCAAACCAATATCGCGCCGGCGTTAATCATTGGATTGTGTGGTTTCTCTATAAAGATATCCATTTTTATCAGAAATTGATCGTATAAGTATAAGTAAAAATTTTGAAAATGTAGCAAAATATCAAATATTACTTTATTTTAATTTTTAATTTTTCTCTATTTTTTAATTAAATTTATTTAATATTTTTTATTATTATTCAGATTGCATTAGTTAATCAATACTCACTACTATAATCGAGCACGAGTTCGTTGAAATTTCTACCGGACGGCTCTTGACCAACGTATTGATGCACCATTTCCTGACCCAGCCTGTCCAAGGCTATCGCATAGGTCAAAGGTTTACTGCAACTTTGAAGGGTGAACGGTATTGAGGTATCGCCAATGCTAAATCGTTGACCGTCGATGGTGCACACGGATACGCCCCAATATTCCGGATTCATCCTGGCTAACTGTGGTATATAGGAGGCGACCTTGCCCTCGGTATTCGTCTTGCATTTCCAATAAAAATCCTCTATGTGCTTTGTAAAACCCGACCAATCGGGAATTATGAACTGATGCCTGAACGCTCGTGAGATCAGAACGATATTGGGATTTATGATTCTGAAAAAAGAAAAAGCAACGCATTAGAGATAGTGTCATGTTCATCTTACATCTTGTTAGATATTTATAAATTAGGCTTTTCTCTTTTAATATTTAAATAACATATTAATTATGTTTAAAATTTACAATTCGAAAAAATATATTTCAGAATAAAATAAAAATTCACAAATATTTAAACGTAAAAAAAAATTATGATATTTAGTATAATATTTAATATAATATAAATAATAAAAAAATATATATATAAATCATTATTTAAATCATAGACCTCACCTTCTGAATTGTTCTCTATCTAGTTTCTGCGTTTCATGTGATATAGCTTTAGTGCGATCGCTATTCTTAGCATGCTCTTTCTTAAGATTGTCTGAAAATTCCTGAAGTCGAGGATCATTCTTCCGCAAGCCGGTTATCCTTAACGCCTTAAATAAATTAATATATAAATGTGTCAATTTTTATTGTTTAATAATTATTTCATAATATATCTCTATGAAAATGTATAAAACATACAGCTAAAAACTCCCCCACTGATACAAGACCAGTCTCTTCCTTCTTGAACATATCAAATAAAACATCTTCGGCGTTTGTTGCTTGATCTTGATCTCGAGTGCTGTAAAATTAATTATTAAATAATGGTGAATAACGCATTTATAAACAATGTGCTAATATAATCAACAGATAATTTTTCTCACTATTTTTCTATATTTTAATCATAGATGACAAAACCATATACATCAAAAGACTACTAGATTACTATCATATTTAAGCCATTCTATTGTTTAAAAATTAAAACTAAAATAAACGCATCCCACTTTTTATTTACAAATCTTACTTATAAACGTAAAAATATAACTCACCATGCATTAAATGTTATAAGCAGAATAATAAAATTTATTACTTCAATGCGCAATAAACATAAAGTTAAACATGAAAATGATTATCTTTAATGAAATTATATAATCAACGAAATGGGCACGGAATATTAAATAATGTGCTGTTAACGAGCTATTCATATCACGACGTGCATTAATGTAGCGCATAGTACTCACTACATATAGTGGCTGTCATGAATGAAACTGTATTCGCTGTAACGAAAAGCAAGACAAACGATTTTGCATTAGCGATGATAATAATAATTGTTAATGCGACTGTTACCTAAGAAAGCGCGCCAACATCCGGGTGGACTGATCATTTTTCTTCTCTACCCAGATCGAACACGCGATTTTCGATTTAATTGCGTAATCTTCGGAAAGATTAGCCAACTGAAGATTATTAGAGTTTTCTTTGGAATCGCAATCGATTGACTCGATGTAAGGCATAGTGATTGTCGTGCTTTGGAACTGTTTTATTTCAATTTTGTAAACTTTATTGTTAAAATTAAAAAACACAATATTTTTCAGTGCGTTGCAGCATATCACAAAACACGATTAGGTTACTAGCTTTTTTCATATAACACAATTAAAAAAAATTCACAAGACTCTATTGAATGTAATTGACTTCTTGCGCAAAATCTAAAGAACCGTCTTGTCGACTGGTTGCAATTACTTCGTCGCAGACAGTACCTGGGGTTCTTATAACATTCGAAAAAGAAAAAAGAAACAAGTTTTTAACCTTCGTTTACCCCCCACAGAGTGAAAAAATACATCTCAAAATAGTATCTCCATTTACGTCAGATTGGAGCAGGTGACATCTTGGGAGCGAGAAGCTACATGCAATTTGCATTCGATGACGAACAATTGCAACAAACAGAAACCGGTAACAAATAATTGCTTAGCATATTAGAGTTGATTAGAGCTGGAGCAGGAAGCTCTGTGTAAGGAAAGGCTGACAGGACTAAAGAATCTCTCAGCTGATCGAAAGAGAATTTATGTTTGGGATTTATTATAGGTGCTTAAAATTGATTAAATTATACAATAAATAAAATACTAAATATTTATACAATGTTTAATAAAATTTATTATTAAACTACATTTAAAAAATAAAAAAAAAATATTGGAAACATTTATCTCGTAAAATCATGAATTTACTTTTCTATAAAATCTGAGATTACGTTTTTAATTTTGTCTTTTGCTGTTTTTTATTTTGTCTAGATAGCTTTTTAAATTGTTTTTATAAAAATATAATGTTCAATAAGTTATATAGCTATATAACTACATATATATAGATATATATATATAAAAATATATATATATATATATAGGTAAAGCTTCGAAATTCTAATTGAATAAATATTGAATAATAATAATATTGATTAGACACGCTTAAGAAAAAGATAATCTTACCGAAACGCTTTTCTTGGTAGTTCTTTGAAATCATCAATCGTGTCGATGTATTGACCACTAAATTCAAAATCGTCCATTGTTCTGATTTTAATAATTCCGAATGAAAGAAACACGGCTAATGTCACCACAGAAAATTCATTTTGAAATTATTTTACGGTTTATAACATATTTTGCGATCTCGAGAGATTCTTCTGCTTCAGTTTTTCTGCGACAGATGAAATCACGATCTAAGAGATCGCATGTTACTGAACGGGCTTAAATGACAATAACAACACTCGACCTAATCAATTGCAATGGGTCAATAGATTGCGGTGTATATACACACACGAACACACAGACGATATCGCATAAAAATTTATTGCTACGACGATCACTATGCCTCCTATAGAAAATTCTACGTACATCGTTTGCAAGTTATTACACTTATCCGTCCGCGCATTCGTCTGTGTTCAAATTGCGCGTTTCAGTGTTACGTTACGTTTATGTTTCTACAGGCGGTCGTGCGATACGCGATTAAAAAGATTGAAAAAAATTCTTACGTTACATGTTTATATGAAAAAAATATGAATACTGGAAAAATAGCTCATAGAAATAATTATCAGTCTGTTAAATTTTTTCATATTTTTATTCAATTCTTCGTGACAATTAAACTAATAATTTAAGGAAATAATTTCCTACCGTGTTTGAGAATGTTCTAATTTTGCTGCAGCTTCAAAAGCGGCTTCCAGATATTTTGCTTTCCCGAATCTCGTAGATGCCGGTACAGCACGTTTCTGTAAAATTGTAGATGTTCCGTTCGATGGCAATTAGAAAAGAAAATTTTATAATTATATTTAAGAAATAAGTGAAATTGCGCATTTAATTTGATAGGTTACTTATTTCTTCATCAAATTTGAACTTTCTAATAAAGCTTTCTATATACATGTTAAAATATATATCTATCGCTAGGAGATTACAACAGTTTTCTTATTATCAACAAAAAAATTATTTGGAACAGTTTCTGACTCGAGCATTTTGAGATGGTCGCGTTGAGAGGGATCATACTGGTTGCTAGGCAGCTCTGTATTGATCCTTCGATGAATCAACATCATAGTATTCTAAGCGGAAGCCTACCACGTGTATTTTAATTCGGATCAGTAGGATTGCATGGCATACACACTGGCGTAATGAAAATTGAAAGCCCGGCTAGATTAAAGAGCGAGATTCGTCTCTGAAAGGTCACTCTTGTCGCGCGTCTTGTTATGTAATCAATACTTAGTTATAAGCTTCTAATATATCTTGCGCAGTGATACAAATGTTTCGTTAATAATAAAATCCGGATATCTCTTAACAATTGCAGTAGATAAATAAATAAATAAATAAGATTCTCATAATTTTTACAAGACAATTATTAGATTTTTCAAGATATAATTTAAATAGATGCTTATTAGTACACCACGTGATATTATAATGAGCTTATAATTAAAAATATAAATTATATAAGACGATCAGTCGAATAATTGTAATATGGACCATGTATTAATTATATTACTTTTAGTAATTATCGGCGATTTACTGAGCACTAGTAACTGTAATAGTCTAATTCGAGCGTCTCGTTGGTATAACAGACATATGCGAGCTATAACGTGTCAAAGTATTTTTGTCACCGATATAGGCCATTGCCGCCGCCCACGTGGCTGCAATTGTCGAGAATCAGTAGTCTTTCTTACTTTATATATCCTAAGAGTATGCATCTGAATCACAATATAATGAACAGTTCTAATACAGTTAAATAAACGAGCTAATATCGAGTTTTAGATGTGTTCTATTATTGCGTAATACTTCCGTAAACGCCATGTTTAATATTTCCCCTACTATCTCATTTGCAGAATGTTGCAATTTTCATTCTTGAGAATTTCTGTCATTTAACGACTCCTCTAAATCTTTCTTATTTTTTATATGCTTACCCTGCTGGTGGAATGTAGTCTTCTGACCCCATTTGCCCCGATTCTCACGAGCTTCAGCATCCTGACACCTTGCATTACAACAACACTCAGTGTTAAAACCCTTCTCACTGATAACTTTCTATGAATTTATTCGATAACACTAAATAACAATTAATTTATCATAATTTAGAAAGTCATAAATGATACGAAAACAATTAACGATCTATTCCGTAAAAGCAAGATGTTTCAATTTGCAGTCTAAATCTCATACATTAAATATTTTGCCAAACAAAATCTTTTTTGAAGGCTCAAATTTTTCTGATCGATATCGCGAACGAGTAAATGTCACCATTTCACACTTTAAAACGCAAGATGCCCACTCATTCCTGCACTATTTGATTCACTTTAGTAATTTTTCCTACGTTTCAAAAATCGCTTAATAAATTCTCGATTATTATCGTTCGTTAATTGATTCATCCGTCGCAATTTTACCTGCGACAACGATGTCGCCGGCGGAAGACGACCCTCGACGTCCCGGAGGCCAGCGTCTACTGCACCGAGGGTCGTACAGAAGGTAGGGAAGGCCGGCCGGCGGGACATGCGCGATTTAAGGTTGCTACAAAATTTCGCTATAGATAATCCGGAATATGTCACGGGTTCAGTCGACATATAACTGGCACGAATTATCCCGCAGGAAACAAAACCGCGAAACAGTGTCGATGTTATCTCGAGGAAAGTCTGCTTGTGAATGCAAAATAATTTTGGCGCAAACATCACATTATACATAATATACATTTCAATTATTTAAATTTATGATGCCATATATTGCACAACAAAAATGAAACAAATAACATAATTAAAAAATAAGTACATATTTTCAATATAATATATCAAAATGCACGGATAGAATGAAGGATTAAATACAGATTATAAAAATCGATAAATAAGGTAATGAACATTGATCATTTATTGTCTTGCAATTGTTACATGATGATATAATGTATTGTATAATAATTGTAAATCTCAACTGTAATCTCTTATATAAATAATTGTACGTAATCCAAACAATTATCACTAAATTTCCATCGTTTAAACCTGATGTTATAAGTAATGAAAACTGTGATATATAAGAAGTCATCTTAATAAAACAAAGTGCACCGATATAATTGTGTTGCATGTGTTTTGCAATCGATAAGATAGCTGCCCTGAAGTTATTCTACTGTATTTGTAAATATAATCGCTCAGTTAATGCAAATAGTATACAATTAGAAAACTACGAGATTCTTATAAGTAATCGGAGCAAAGTAACTTACGTTTCATTTAATCCAACAAGTCTCAGAATTAATTCTAGATTATACAATACAATAACCAGAAACTGGTGAGGCAGTTTTCAAGTTAAGTTGATAGATCTTACTTGTATATTGATATTTAACACTTTGGTTTCCATCTCCTCTCTATAATTCACGACGCATTTATAGACGAGCCAACACTTATAGCATGAAAGATATATAAGCAATGGAAAAAAAATTATATGTAATTAATAGAAGAAATATGAAGAAATTATATTTTGTATAAATTTTTTTAATGAACTGAGTAATATGAAAATCTTAATCAATTTCTTGATATTCATTCTATTTTTTTTTTACGACAGTACACGTAAATTAGAATTTTATTACTGAGAGACTTTTGGCACTTTGAAAAAGTCCAAATTCTAACAGAATCTTACAAATAAGAGTGTTTTGAGCAAAATGACATATGTACGCTTTAAATAGAATTAGCTTAGGCGCGTCAAAGTCAATTTCAATTTCTCAGCGGAGCATACGAAGACCATAACTATATTATGTCACAACATTATAAAGATCAGACAGTGCACTGATATTGTATTGCATATGCGTAATATTGCACGCGGTATAATATTGTATGTCATTATTATTCTATAAGTTTACTTTTTGTCACTAATGCACAAAAAGGTGAATCGCATCAATTTTTATCTTCTAAGATTTGGAAGACTGTAGCGTAATCGTATATGATCAAGCATACATATAAATGTCCAAATACAGACGAGTTGTATAAAAAATTGTAAAAAATTGATTAGAAAATATTATAAATCTCAAAAAGACGAATATCTTTTAATTTATTATAAAGTGTTCAAAAATAGCGTAAACCGCTGATCGTACTTAAAAAAAATTATAAGTAAAATTGCGTGTATAGTGTCGTCGATAATATGCTTTCGAGAGTGATGAGTGAATCTATATTTACAGACGATGCGATGAGTTTTTGATTTTATGCGCAGAACAAGAGAATCCTTAATTCTATGATATAAATAGGATGAGGATAATAAGTGTAAAAGTTTCTAAGAAAACTTTTAACAACGAGAAGAAAAATGAAAAGAAACATGTCGCGTAAAAATTCTAACGTTGTTAGGATTTTGATCGGTTTTAAACTTTCCGTATCTCTTCTACACTAATTTCACACATGTCGGATAGATAAATCCTGAGAGTGAAGGCAATCTTCATTATCTACCTCAAAGGTAGCTTCAATGAACATACATTGCAAGATCTGTGCATCGATTTAAAAATTTAACGAAGTTATCTAAAAATTAACTTACGCCGTTTTTAAGATAATCCCATATCACGTCGACTGTACGGATTTACCGTCTATCGTCGTCTATACTAACAAAAATCGGCAACTGATGCAAACGTATACCACTTGGATATCTCTAAAATAGTATTGCGAAACGACCAGAGAGAGCGAAAACGGCTCTTCGAGTCTTTAAGTAAAGTTGCCTATAGACGTTACTTTTTATAGTACAATACGATGCAACACTAGTAGAGATCTGTCGCATCTGTATCAAGTAAAGCTCTAAAATTGGCGAAACCGCGATGCTTCTTTTCCCATCATGAGTTGCAGACATTGTTCAAACAATCACATTTAAACAATCGCTTTAGCTGTGTTGTAATTATTGAAACAGTTAAAGCAACTGTTTGACATTATTACGACTTGAAACATCGACGACAGAGAAATAATACATATTACATTGCTGCGATTTCTTTAAGTCTTCGTTATTTTCGCTTCGTGAAGGCGTCGCGCATGCGACTAGCGCTATCAAAAATAGTGCCATTTTCAATCGCGAAGATGAAAATTATCATTCATTCTTTTTACAATCGATTATCTCACTTACTGTATCTGATAAATAGATTGTGTAAGGCCAATTTGATCGCTTGCAATTTATTATCTCGACATCGTCTTCAACGCAAGATGCAACACCTGAGACTCGTACAGGTCTTCGTGGTATCAGATCACCGTGTCCTGATAAGCGGGCGGTCCACTTAGGACGAACTGTCGCTGGCTTTGTCTGACAACGTCGGTGCGATTAGGCACCTGCGGTGTCGCCCTAACCCCATGATAATTGCTATAGCTGGACCTAGCGCTGGCCGGCCGATTGCTGTACAGCTCTTCCATGTCCTCGCCATTTAGACTCTGCGTGCTGGTCTGCTGGAACGTGGGGTTGCTCTGACCCTGCCACTGCATGGGGTTCAGCTCGCCAGGCGACGCCTGCCAGTTGTCGGTGAGGTTGCGAGTGGAGCTAGTGGTCGGATGCTGATGGTCCCAACCAACGGGCGGACTCTGTCCGGCCGGGAAGCTGGACGAGGCGTTCGAGTAGTTGTTGGAGGAGTCCTGGGTGGCCGGCGGCCACAGGGTTGGCGACGACACTGCCATGTTCACCGCCTCCGGCTGCCAGTTCCGGTCGGCGTTCCGCTCGCGGTCCCAGCCGACCGCGATCCGGTCGTAGTTGATCGTGCCCTGCGACAACGAGCTGACATTTTGATTCGTCAGGTTGCCGATGCAGGGTGTGATCGTGTTCGCGTACAGACTCTCCTGGTGGTCCATGATGCGGTTCACCGGGTTCTTGCGGCGCGACTGGCGTACTGAGCTGCGCCGCGTGTTGGAACGCCGCGTGCCATCCCGCGAGATCACGGAGCGTCGTTTCACCCGGCGCGGAGTCATCGGCTTTGGCGACACGCTGTCATCTTGCACCGGCGGTTCCGGCTGCGAGTACTCGATGCTGTACAACGGCCGTGGCTGCTTTTTCTTTCGTTTAGTTCGTACTGTCGAGGAAACAGAGAGAAAAAGGCAATCAGAACTCTGCGATGCGGTCAATTTGACTCCTTTTTTTGTTTGTCCACTCGCAATGATCGAGTAATTGATGATCAAACGATACATGTTAAGTGTAAGAAAAGCGAAATTTATTATTTCATTAATCCATAACTAAATCCTATTATTATATTCTTTTCTTATTGTTAATCCTCATTTGTTTTGTCTTGAAATATGTTAATCAATAGTTTTAGTACTATTGTCATAAATGTATTTGCATTCTAAAGTTGCAGTCTTTATATCCATATTTTTCAGTAAATAATTGTATTGATAATAATCAATTCTTTAATCAAAATAATTTTGCTGCAAAAATAATAATTGCATTTAAGTATCTCAACAATTTCTAAAAGATTTAGAACTTAAATATTTGGAACTAAAAATGTAATAACAATTAAGAAAAAAAAATGAAAAAAGGTTCCCCAGAAACCACACAGTAGGAAATTGTTAGAAAAAGGAAAAGAAAGAAGAGTGAAGGGTTAATAAATAAAAAGCAAGCAAATAGCAGCATTGCATATTTATTGTTCCCAATTAACTGCGCCAAAGTAAATAATGTGATACAGTGGTTAAATACAAAACTGATTATATGACGATCTTAAAAAAATATAAACGTTCTGTACAAACTTGAGAAATGCTCGATAGAGACTGTACTTAGAAATATTAAATCTGAAGTGACAAAGAAACTCTGCGTCAAGGTTTTTCTCTTTACTTCGACTTCTTATATTAAAAAAATTAATTGTCTAAACCAAATATAAAGGAATACTAATATTTCATATTTAATAAATAAATTTACTCAAATATAAGGAAATAGTAATATTCCATATCTAATAAATAAATATTTTTATCATTTAATTTTATTCTTTATAAGTACTACGCAAAAATAAGTATGTATATACAATGATGTAATTTTCATCTCCATCATCATGCTATATAAATAAAATATTCTGTATTTGAAATTAAAGATAACGATTTTGCGACATAACGCATATGCGTACAAAAGAAAGAGATATCTGGTTTATGTTAATATACATATAATGATAATTTTTTTTGTATATAGAAATTAAGCTGTTTTAAATATATATATATTATATCTATTTCTTTTTTAACAGTCTTTTCTTTATGATCTGGGCATATTCAGCTACATTCTATTTTTTATATAAAAAAACTAATATAATCTATTTAAAATATATTTTTCGTGATGTCACTTCAGATTTCTTATTAAATTATAATATAACGCAAAAAAGATCAGTCATTCATATGTGAAATGTCACAAAACGAATAAGATTTTTTTGAATAAACGTATTGCCAAAAAGAATATTTGAAACTTGAAACGTGAAAAAAAAGTGTACCATACATAACAGTGAAATTTAATCTATACATTTAGATATCTATGAAAACGAATATAAAGACTTTCATGTAATAAAAATACTTGATTCTGCTAAATCAAGAATACAAAAAAAGAAGGAAACCACAACTACTACATGCAGCACTACTAAACAAAGGGAAGTCGTGACATGCGCGCTTCCTTGTATAAGTTTCTTTAAATATTATTATATAATAAAAAGAAAACCTCTTTATAGCACCGGGTCAAACCCTTAATTGAGCTATAAAATAAACTAATTAAATGCAGTCTAATCGTTTCAGAGTACCAGCTTAAAACCCTTCCATGTACGTAGCATACGACAGAGAAATACATTAATCTCGATATATAGAGAGAATCTAGAAAAAAATAATACTACTGCAAAACACATTGTGGCTTCTGTCAGCTGTCAAGGTTTTGTAAATTTAAAAAACTGATAAAGCTATAGGTATAATTTCACTCTCAAGTAAGATGTTTCAATCAACATGCTGTGTTTTATCAACACTTTTCTCTATACATAGCGTGCTTTAAAGTTTCTCAATGCATACAATTTTCAAGATATCGCTAATCAAATCTCGTACATTTATAAAACGATAAATATTCCGCGTGATCTTAAACACACAATTTCTATACATATCACAGTAAATGTACCAAGAAACGTATTCATCAATTTATGCGTAGAGTACGAGCAGTAACGTGTAAGTGAACCATGTACAGAATGACTCACGCTTATCCGTTCCTCTTAACTCTTTCTGTACAAATAAATGTGTATAAATTAGTCTTTTCTGGCTTTCTCACACTCCCCGTTAATCTTATCGGCACTAAGGTAGCGGCTGGAGATAGCATTAGTCCAAAATTAATTCTATCTTGCGCCGTTACAGCACATTGATATCTTAACTTAATCATTTAATTTGTATGTATTAAGTAGTGAAGAGAGCGGAGGGTAATTCCAAATCATCCCACATATAAATATGCAACATTTATGAATTAGTAGGTAAGTCACACTGCATTGATTTGCTCGTACGAACGCTATTGAACACACAGTTCGACTTCAGTCGATTGTTTCGTTGCAAAGTACGAAGAACACGGTCAATAAATATTATGTAGTTATGTTATGTAACACAACTCGCAATTTAGATCGGCGAAAATTGCCAATGGGAAAGGCATCTACAGGGCTAGGCTACACTAAACTTGTTCTATCTATTTGGCAAGTATAGGAATTATAATGTTACACGTACCGCACGGGGGTGGACGCCATACGCGGTAGTATAGAAGTTTGCATTAAACTAACTTTCGTTTACTCTTCTCGCTATAAGAGAGCAGAAGACAAGAACTTGCGCGCGGGCGATTTTATCTGCCGATCGTGAACCGAAGAGAAAAGTGTCATCGACTTTTAGCACGCAAATACTTTAGATGGTCGCGTATAAAAGCGGAAGGTTTTCAGAAGTTATTCGCGTACAGGGACAATGGTCGGCTATCTCGTTTCGACTGAGACGACGACCTGTCGTGCTCGCTCGACGCTTGATCAACGGCCAATCTCGGATCGGAGTAAAACGATCTCAGTGGCTGGTCGCGTACGTGATCGATGAAGACGCGGGGTTTGACGGGATTCCTGGCGTGCGTCGCGACCTTGCGACACTTGATACGAGCGACCGGGCTGTACTTCGCCGAGTGCGGATAGTACAGCCTATTTTTCTGATATCTCAGCTTAGCGGCACTGTCTAACGAGTCGTACTCGTCGTACGCGGGCGACACGGGCCGCTGCAAATGGTCCACCGGGTTTAAATAGTCGACCGAGTAATCGACGTTCTGAAAATCGCGGCTGGATGAGCGACTACTGTTACTACGGACCGTGTCGTTCTTGAGACCGACGACGGCGTTGTTCTTGCCGCGCGCGATGCCGCCGCCCAGCAGCTTCTCGCCGTGTTTCGGAAAGCTCGATTCGCGATAGGTAGATTGGTGTGAGCTAGCTGTGCCAGTCGGATAATTATTTTGAGCGGAATTTTTGAGGGAGTAGGCAGGTGGTGGAAGAGCCGAGTAGCTAACGTACATAGGATGCAACGGCGTGTGGCCTGCCAACCCAAAGTCATCACCTCCAACAAAGTCAACTGAAATATCATCCAAGAATCCATCATATTAGATGAGGTCCACTGAGCCGGAGATAAGCAATGCGTTAACGAATCGACCGAAGAAGCGAATACGCGACGAGTAATGCCGAATTAAGATATCATTATGTGTTACAACCAAACTCTTTTCCCTATAACGTTTTACGAAGAAGAAAATGTCCTATCTCGAAATCTTTCGTTGTAACATTTGGTCCTATTACGTGGCATAGTCTACTTAATTTTGCTGTGCCTTCGCAATCGTATTTGTAATATTCTTGGCTAAAAAAATTAAAAATCGTACCATATATTGTATTAAGATAACACCATTCCGTTCATGCGAAGATAAAGAAACACTATTTGAGCAATATCGTATGATAAACAACAACAATAATAATAATAATATAGATATGAATTACAAACTTCAAGATGCAAAAAGTTTTACGTCGCTACATATCAAAATTTAATTTACACTCTACAGCTCTTCATAATTATACTATGAAAAATTATTACTCGTGCCAAAAGATAGTCGAATATACATATATGGCGTGCAATTGATGAACATGATTAAGCGAACTTACCAAAATGGAGGATCAAATCCACCAATGAAATCAACTGTAACCGATAACCCTCTTTTCAAGCAATAATAAATAATCGCGTGTACTTATACATAATTAGTGATTATCGAAGATTTATCTAATTTCTTATTACTAATTTAAACAATTTTAAAAATATATTCCTATCAACGATGATAAATTCCTGGATAATTTTGTGCAAATTTAAAATATACATTACTGTGCAATTAAGAATATGTATTCGGAATATAATATGACGAAGTACGTCTAATGATAAAAATCTAGCGTTTATATACATAAGATTAATACAACTTTCTTCAAAATATATTCAGTTTACATTAAAAAAAGAATAGATAATTAATTCATTTCATTTTTATCTTTTAATTTAACTACCTGGAATCTGATGTAGCAATCACAGAATATCTAAGTCATTAGTAATCATGTAAATTGTAAAAAATAAATAAGAGTATAATGATTTGTCACGTTTAACTTATTTAACTTGAATACGTATAGAATGATATTCGGCCTTCAAATTTCTTTTTTCTTATCGAATATGCTGCTCCAATAATAACCACAACCTCTTCCCAATTGCTTATCATAAAACCACAAGCCAGTAAAATATGAAAGATAATTCTTACTTCAAGCAAATATATACGTATCTTTTAAAATATAGAAACTAAAATGCATTCAATTTCATTAAAATTTTAAATAAAATTTTTAAATATGCTTGACTGCGTTCCCCTTGTAATTTAGGACAGATATTATAAAATCATTGTGATATCATTTAAATTTAATATATACGATTGCTAAATATACTCACAGCTATCATCTTCCTCAAGGAACACTTTACTGAGACAAATTCCGCCGACAATCGCCATAAACTGAAATATGTAAAATGGATGAACTTTGAAACTAATGCATATAAAAAGATAATAATATAATCAGCTACGAAGTTTTTAATGCATTATATGATAATTAACTTTTCACTTACACCTAAAACACATTGCGTCGCAGCGTGTAAAATTTCTATCACTTCGTAATCCAGTACGCAGTCTGTTACATTGGTAGGTCGTGCGGGTCGAAAAAGCTCCGGTTCCGTCACGTCATAAACGGCTTTGCAACCTGGTCCATTCACGTACCACCATGAAAAGCTACCAGTACCAAGGTTAAGTATATCGCTATTCTAAAAAATAATATTGCATAATTTAAACTCGTTATTGATCGTAGGTACACAATAATTCACAATGTATTGCATAAGTGTCTATTTACTTTGTCCAGTATCCCTACATTGAGGTAAAAGCATATGATAAATACGTTCCATCCTAGCCACAATGTATTCCATATACAATACTAAAACAAGAATAGCAATTCAATAAAAATAAATAATTAATTCAACAATTAATAAAAATATATAGAAAATACATGTATTCGCATATTTCGATAAACCTTTGCAATGAGAGAAAATAAATTATTCTCATCAGAATATTTATAAAAATCTTTTTTACGTATATTCAAAATAGTTACACTTACCGATATGATATATTTAGGTCTATATTGAAAGGCCCCGAAAAATCCTAGAATTACGAAAATGATATTGAAGAAGTTGACCAGTATCGGGGCCCACATAAACCCCAAAAAGTCGAAGACTTGACGTTCTATAGTGGTAATCTGAAAGCAAATATAAAATAGATTGCAACACAACGCATAAACATCCAAACGTAACATGGAGCGTAATATAAAGTAATAAGTGACGAACATCTCAATTTCTGTTGATTCCTTTTGTGAGCGTTCTTAATCTATGGCAATTGCTCTGTGTTCTAAATTCTCAGTTAATTAGTAATTCTGAGTCATAGCATTTGATGGTGCTACATAGCTACATCAAAAGATTGTCCAAAACTCATAATTTATTAAACTTTTTCTAAAGATTTATTTTAAATTATTTTAATCAATAAAATTCCATAAAAATTTATAATATATTAAAATATGAAATATAAGGTTTATCAATTAAAAATTTATATATATACAATATTTGTACATTAAATTTATTTATTAAACTTTCACACAAATTGATTTTCTACGTATGTTTTTAATTTATCAATTTATATATAAAGAATTTCAAACATTACGTTTAAATATTAAAATTAAATATAACATTCCAACAGAGAAATTCTTTTAACATTCCAAAGAAGAAATCTGAAAACTCATTATTCTTAAATTGCAATTACTTTCCTATACTTCTGACACAAAAAGCAAGTGATTCGTAACATGCTACATAAAAAATGCGTCTAAGTGCAATTGCTTCGATATTATCGGAGCAACGACTATCAAATGATGCAATAAAATCGTAATATAAGGCTCCATTTTAGGGAAATCCCTCGAGATAAATAACACGATTCGGATCAATATGATAAAATGATATCCATGAATCGACGATAAGAAAAATGTGGTAACGGCTCTTCTTCAGCTCTCCCAATGGACGCTGCGCAAGTGCGCGTCCGTTCACAGGACAGCATGACTAACGCATATCGTATCGTATCACAATCGCGGAATCCACGCAAGGAGAAAAAAGTAAAGATATGTGACTCGCGATCTATACAGATAAAGTAATGCACATATACGTAAATATGAACAATTCATAGCCAGACGTTGCGGTTGGAATCGAAAGTTGGCATACGCATCCGGATTAACGTGCACTCACTAGTTGCAGGCTGCATATTGTCAGTATAAAATGCCTTCTGCTGCAAATTCCCATGTCATTTGGCCGTGCTCCGCTTAACGAGCGATCTCGCACGGTACGATCGGAGCAAACAACGACGGTACTCGCTCGCACTGCATCACTACTGCGGTACGTTCCGATGCGCCATCGCCATCTTTTGCTTTTCCCGTGTTTGCTGCTCGACCGAAACACTTGTTCTACCCTTCTACGCTCCCCTACCGCGCGGTATAACTGTGTGCGAGCGTACGACTACCGCAAGTGCCGCAAGTGGCATGCACCGTGCGCTCGTAGCGTAGCCAGGCAACCGGAGCACGCTCGTTTTGTCACGGTTGGCGAACGACTGCCACCACCGCGGCACGTGTAAGAAATTTACCTCCCCTCCCTTAATATCGTGGCAAGTGGCAACTGTGCGAAATAACGTGTTGCTTTGTTGAGGCCGAGCTATGAGTCTCTATTCGATTCTATTCGATTAGAAGGAGTAGTTGCAGAGATATACAACGCTCTTGAAAAAAAAAAAGAAGATATAAATTTAGATACAGAGAATTGTAATTCTAAGCTGTCAATAATTTAAAATATTTGTATTAAAAAGAAATAAAAGCTAAAAGTTACAAATTTATAAGTGTAGGTCGAAATATATCGAGACTATTGCGATAATCTTGTGTCAGGTCTACCAAACTATAAATACGAATTTCCCCGCCATCGAGAATGGAATGTGTCTTTAAAATGAAATGGTATGAAATGGTATGAATTCAATCTATTTTGCTGAAATGCGTGTTCATTTTAAATAATTTGAATATTTGAATACTAATTCGGATACTCGATCAATATTCGAAAATGGATATTAATATGTATAATGGATTAAAATGGATTAATGGGTAAAATTTTGTATGTGATTGTAGTGATTGATTCAAATATCTAATTGTAAATATTATTAACTATACTTTATAGACTGTTTTTGTACTTAATAGAAATTTATTAATTATAATTAAATTTATTTAGCAATTTTTTTAGGAAAAAAACAAAAAATAGTACTATTTGATTGACAATAATCAAATTGATTAATTTTTTATATATCAATTACTCTTAATTATATTCAAACTTAAATTAATTATAAGATTTATTTAAAATTAAACTGTTAATCTACTTATTTTTAATATATTTTTGCGCTTTATTTTCTTCTTTTTTTTCTTTTTCTCTTCAATACTTGATAAATTATAACTCTTATTTTATTTTGAGTGTAGAAAGTTGAAGAAGAAACGTAATTAAATGATTCGATAATCGATAATCACAAATTGTTACATTCAAGCTACGAAATATTAAAACACATATACATATCATATCTAATTTATAATTTACTTCACAAAAGTATTCGCATAATTATTATTTATTTCAACATAATGTAGAAATTGCTATAGACAACGCACGAATAATTGATAATCGTTATTTGCGAGACCTCTTGATTTTTGAAACCAAATTAAGCTTCTAACGTCAAGACTGTTGAAGCTGCCAAAAACGTAACCCTGTAATATGCTTTGGATTCCTCGAAGGTACGGCTCTACTAAGGTGTAACGAGGGCACGTTTCGCGTGCGCAAGATATACGGAGATGGCAATTGCATGTTTAGAGCGATCAGCTACATTTTGTGGCGAAACGAGGAAGAGCACCAATCGCTTCGAGCTACGGTCAGTCATTGTAATTAATTGTCCTTGTAAATATTGTAACCATATAAAATTCACTACATGAATATCACAAATGTCAAAGATCGATTGTAACGAAATTAAAAATAGAATCGCTTCCTGACGGGAGACATGAAGCTTATAATTATAGTTAAATCGAATAGATGCCATATATATATCGCTACCCTTTAAATATTATTTTTACTGTTGTCGACTTGACAGGATCTCAGCCGGTAATTGATATATGTTGACGTGTATAATAGCCATAAATCATTTGACAGGTTGTGCAGCACATTAAGGAGAATTGGCGCGAGTACGGTCCGTTCGTGATAGCCGAGTGGAACATTTCGGATCGCCAAGAGTACTACGATTACATGAGCCTAGTGGGCACATTTGCCAGCGAGCTGGAGTGCACGGTAGCCACAAAACTCCATCGCATGAATCTTTCTATCTATCGCGAACTCCCCGGCAGATACGAACTCAAGTTGGTTTTTCACAACCGCGTGAATATCAGCTACGAAACCGCGAGGCTCCTATTCACCGGATGCTCCGAAAATGGTCATTACGATGTCTTATTACCCGATTCAATGTCAAGTCTCTTTATGGGCCAATAAGCTATACGTTGTGGCAATTAATGAAAATGATTAAAAGTTAAAATAATTCTCGAGATCAAATAAACGATAAAATTATTATATATATATGAAAATTTATGTCACTAATTTTTTTTAACAACTTTGACTATTTTGCGTTTTATAAGAAATATTATGTTGCATAATTGGTGGGAAATATATGAAGCATATACGTATATTAAATTTATTAAAATTATTGAGACTTAATTAATTTGAAATTTGCTTTATTCACGATATATTAAGATTTTATTAAGTAATGTAGATGTATAAAAAAGTAAATATATAAAGAAGGTTATATTATAATAATTATCTAAAATAATTAAAAAATTAAATATATTTTTTAATAATCTCTGTAGAAAAAAGAAATAATACTTCATGTAATTTTCTTACATTACATTTACTAAGAATAAAAGAAAGAAAGACAAATATTTTTAAATTTTTATTAACAGAAAATCTATTTTCTTAAAAGCTACAAGGATCTTCTTTATATAGTATAATGTACTATAATATTGTAATATATGATATACAATTTACAATTCTAATTTGACTCTGCGTGAATATTTAATTGGAATAATTCTCCTTCGCATACTCGTGAGAAGATACTGCTGGCTGCACAAATTTCAAACACTTTTAAAGGTTTTTGCTGTCCATCTCGAGGGAATTCGCTAACAGAAAACGCGAATTCCCACACTCATGTCGGTGCCGACACTGGAATGCTTCACGCTTCATGAGCAAGAACAGGATTTAAAAGGAATAATCGCATCCCTGCGTGTGAAGCCATTGTGAGACCGTTGTTATTGCGCTATAGATACAACAACTGAAATACAAGATCATATAAAGTCAATTAAAAATAATATACATTGAATTGAAATATCAAAGATTGCATTTAACTGTCACAAAATCATAACCTATTACGATTCAATAGTAATTAAAAAATATTAATATGCTAACAAATAAATGTAATAAAAATGTATATAAAAAGATGTGCAATAACGCAAATTCATACAGTTATGTTTAAAATAATATTTTATTATTTTTTTAGTGCACATATATATATATATATGTTTAACGCTCTTAAAATTTCTTCAAATTTAATTTTAACTTAAAATATTTAATCTATATAATGTTTAACATAATATCTCATAAATCGATTTTAGCACTAATTAATCTTTAATTAAATCTACCTTCTTACCTTATTTGATACATCATTTTCGAGCACCAATTAATACTAATGCTGCACTGGTCCCTTCTGACCGCCTGCACAACCTCTTTGGCTATTTCTTGTTCTTCTCGTTTTGTCGAGCTATAATATAGATTAGTGAATTCAAAATTAGTTGACTTAAAAGTAGATTTTCTTTTTAGTCTTTTTGAAGAAGCTCACTTGCTTGTTGTCGTCGGTGAAATCGCGAGGAAGGTAAGATGACTATTACGATTGCTCAATTCTTGACTCAAACTTTCCATCAGACCTACATGTAAATAAATCACGCACTATTAACCAACACGACATTTATTGTTTACCGCGATGTGACGAGTGGCTTTTATGATCGACTATACTCACCGGCGATCGCCGCCCTCGAGCTCAGGTATACATCCTGGGTGGATGCAATTGGCGTAATTCCGACAATGTGCGCTCTGTCGCGTTGTAGCATAAATGGCAAAAATGCCAACACCATCTAGAATGAGAAAAAAAGAAGAAAAACCTGTTTACGATAAGCGCATATTATTATATTACATAATATATAATTTATCAAAATTATTACAAAGTTTTACATTATCTTATTAATTACTATTATTAATTACTTTCTTTTAATTATTAAACTTTTTTATTCCCGATATTATCTTTATTTGTAATTCCCATTTTAGTTTGCATGAATAACTAATTACAATACATCAATATATGCAAATTTCATTCGTATACACGGAGAGAATTTTTTTTTAAATTTACCCTGCAAATCATGTTAATTGTGGGACAATATAGTCTTTAGGCAAATTTTACTGTGCACTACAATAAGTATTTTACAGTAAAATTTATTGTAATGTACAGTAAAATTTGCCTAAATACTATATTGTCCCATAATTAATATGGTAAATTTGCATGATAAATTTAAAAAAAATTCTCTCCGTGTAGAATATATTAAAAATAAGATATTGTAAAATCGGTTTTTTATTACACATACATATTTGTACAAATTTCCAGAATAAATTTCCATTTATCAAAAAGATCAATTAATATCTAAAAGTCATCATATGATGAAAATAAATCCGCGACCTCTATTCTCGCGGTATCATCAGTGTCAACGTTTTGCATTTTATTAAAAAATTTAAAAAAAATGTAAATCCGTTATTAGATCATTAAAATCATATATTCCTAATATAAATAACATTTTCAAGCAAATTTTCTCTACAAATACATTGTAGTGTTAAAACCGGTCGTTAACGACTGGCCAATTTAATATGACATGTGACATGATTGCTTCAAGGACACAACTGTTGGACACGACGCTCACCCAATAATGGCTCATGAGAGTAGTATTGGCTGTATCGAAAATATCTTGATAAGGTTGCCCGGCGCAGGTCACTAGGACATCGATGCCACCGACCTCATCCTCGACCTTCTTGGCGATCTCACGTATGGCATTACGGTCCAGCAGGTTACATTCGTACGCTGCCATTGTGGGCCCTGCAGTCTCCTGCTCGTGTTCTCTATGGTCAGGCCCGATTCCCTTCACTTTATTGCAACGCAATTTTAGCCTGGTAGTTAACTCCTCCACGGATCTAAAGTCGTTATCTACGCAGATCACAGAACATCCACCCCTCGCGAATTCCTCGGCGAGAAATTCACCGAGGGTCGACGAGACACCGGCAATCTGTTACAGGAAATATTTGTCTACTAAGAAAGAATTACTCTACATTTTCAAGATTATTTTAAATCAAATTAATTCGCGGTAAAGAGGAATGCAAAATCTTAAGATAACTATTTATTACATTTAACTGTACAACATGCAGAATTTATTTCTTCCTTTCAATCCTCTTTCAAATTATGTGCATTGTATTTTATAAAATATACCTTTTAAAGTAAATATTTAAATGAGTAAATTCAATTATAAAAGCGTAATAGTTGTACAAGTTAAAATTTATAAATAGAAGGTATACATACTAAAACTACATCGCCGCTCAAATCCCTTGGTGGTTTTGGCAGAAGAGACTTTATAACATCGAGGATGACTAAGAAACCAGAGATGACAGTGCCAATTAAAAATTCGAAACTGAGATAAAATAAAAAATTAATCGAAAAGCCTGTTCTTGAATTTGCATTCACTGATTCGTCTTTAACTCGTAGCATCATCCACTGCAAAATACAAATTAATTATTTTATTATGATATCCTAATTTGAAGTCTTTGAAATTTAAACTATAAGTTAATTTATTCATTTATTTGTTACGTTTTTTATTTATAAATTTATTAATTACATTTTCAATAGACCTCGATCTGTTATTATTATTATTACTTTTGATAAACAACAGAATTAAAAATCATTAAAATACAATGTTGATAATATTTATTAAAATACTTTATAAAATACTACAACAATAATATCCTTTAAATTATTGTTGTGATATTGTCTCAATATAATTACTAAATTTATCATAATCGATACAATACTTAATTTTTCTTCTTTACTGTACCTACATATATTCATAAAAGATTTTTTGTAAACAAGTCATTACCGAACTTTTACTCGTTACTAGGAAGCATGACAAATTATACTTGCACTATACCTACTGTCGAAATTAATGCCTTTTCACGCGAGAAAGTATCAACGCGGTTGTGGGCAACTGATTATGTAACGTGTAAACTTCTATGTGCCACACGATATGTAATAAAGTACGTAGCACTTTATAGATAAGCAAGCACCCTAAAAGATTTACGATCATCGCATCGAGGCGTGAAAGCAAATTAAACGGAAATGCATCGGTTATGTCACAGACTGTTGCAAAGATTCTCTACGAGTCGACATATATAAATTGATCATATATTAATCTGTCCTACATATATCAATTTTTAAGTATTATATAATTGAAAAATTTTAATTGCATGTATAATTGTTTCAATAGCAAAACTCGTTCAATCTTTGAGCAGAGCATTTCCTGTTAATATTAATGTGTTCTACTTTTTACGTTACATAGTTTATACAATATTAATTAGTACATTCTACTAAAGCTTGAAATTTATTAGTACTTGGTAATAAAGTTTATTATTCGTGATATGATTCATAATTGTTGCGCATTTCATTTAAAAAAAAGTGTAGTTCACCGAGTGAACGCGGAAATTAATTTGCATTACTTAACACTGCTGAGATATACATGTGTTCGCTTCTATTTCTGCATTAGATCAGTATAATGAAAACATGCAGAATTAGCAAATGCAATAAAACCATTAAAGGATTCTCGTTGGTGTTATATAATGGATTAATGTCTTAGTATTAACAGTTTTATTGCACAAAGAAGAAAATAAAGTTATAAATTACACGAGTCAAACCAAATAGTACGTAATCTCCAGTTTAAGAAACGTTATATCAGTAAATATTCAGAATTTATTGCTTACTTTTAGTCGTAATTACATAAAAACATTAATTTTGAAAAAACATTTATTGTTTTTGCTACATACTATAATCTTAATTATAATATAAATAAAATAGATTTGCGTAATTATTTATAAATAACTTTATTGATTCTATCTTAAAGAAATAGAATAGTAGTTCAAAACGTTATCATTATATGAAATAGAAAAACTTTAAGAAAAATTATCATATAAAAATTTTGAAAAATTATTTGAAGAATTCTAAGAACTTTTTTTTACCAAGGATAGTATACGAAACTTTCTGACTTGAGCGTACTGTAAGAATGTACTTGTAATATGTATACTAAATTCAAGAAGATTTAAAGTTCTGCCAGTTAACAAATCATAAAGTTGTCATTTCATTCTTTTTCTGTTTGGATAACATAAAACTTTGGTTTTATGTCGTATTTCAACATAATCTTGGCATCAGAAAATCAAATAATATCGCTGTCGAAATGTTTAGCTTCTTCTTTAGCACAACTTTTATATAACTGTTAATATAAATATTAAATAACGTGTAACAATTTTGTAATGCAGCATAAAAAGCCGTGTACTCGTGTAAGAATACGTAGTTTAATGCAATGTAGTTTCAGTATAAAAAGTGTACCATCGCGCAATTGGAGACTAATTTGCAGCACACTTTGATAAAACAACACTTCGATGCTACGGAAGTCATCGATTGTTCAAAATCAACATAAGAATATAAAGGTAAAGGTGGTAATCAAATTGAGGTTTAACGCCCGTAAACGTCAGTGTGCTTGTCCGTTTGTATTCCGTTAAAGCATCCGTTTTCACGTCATTATGCGGTTTCACTTGTTCAGCCCGCAAACAAAGAAGAATATTAGACACACTGTAACATAAGCGAATGGCTTTTTCGTGTAAAAACGCGAAACTATGAGGAAACGTTTGCGGGACACAATAACAGTTCACGTAAATGCAACGCCATAAATTTGGCGCGGTGCTTATAGAGCGCGAGCACTATTTTTCTTATTACATAACTAACATATTCTCTTTCGGGTGCACCGCTTTCCATCAAGTAAGAGTAAGTAAAATCAGGCAGGGCACTTGCCGCAATCAGATATCTATTACCTGTTATATAATAATCGCTACATGTGCGAGAGAAATTATAAGCTACCATTCGAAAGGTGAGTCTGAGACCAGCTCTAAAACTCTAACACTCCGTGGGAAGTGATAAATGTTTACGCAAAGCAGGATAAATAAAATAGGATTAGTTTTTTGTTTGTCGTTATTAATAACGCCATAATTAATATTATATCAATAGAATAATAGCAATTTTTGAATTGAATTACAATGATTAATGTGAAATAACGATAATCGTAGCTGCAAAATACTCACAAAAAGCGATAGCGTAAGTATAGGTGAGATTATTTAACTCTCCTTAAAGGCTAATTACGATAATATCGTTTCACTAATTGAGGCTGAGTCACAGAGGAAATTTGAATTTTTTCGCATTCTGCGTAAAGATTGACAAGCGATCATATCTCATAATACATTCAAGTAATTGTGCAGAGCCACATTCAGCTACATCATCAAAGTTTCTCTGTGTGCATATATAAACTCGATGTACAATCTAATTAACCATCTTGATAATAATCTTTCTCCAAAATATATGAAGAAAATCTACACTTGACTTTGATCGACAACTTTTACAGTTTCCAATAATTATTAGTCATGAACTTTTTCCAGTTTTTAATCGAATTTCTTAAACAAGCTACTTCATTTTCCTTATATAACATATCTTGGCACAGATAAATCTCACTGAGGATTTCCTTGTAACCTTTAAAACAATAGCTCACAATAAAGACTGATTATCTATCATGTAACTTTCTTCGTACCTATTATTTTAATTGTATTTTCAGTAAATCAAAAAATGTTATATATTATATATCGCTAAATATTGCATTATGTTTAAGAGAAATTTGTAACAAAAAGCTAATGGTAAAGATAATCTGTCATAAATTCCTTTCAATAACACAAAGAAACGCAGTGGAAAATCCCTTTCAATAATACAAAAAAAAACAAATAAACACTGAATCGATCGATTGCATAGGTATAACATGAATCGACAACTTACATCATTATACTCGTTCTCACGTGTCGATTCGTCGATTCGCAAAGATATATTTTTATGCTCGACGCTGTTCTACAATTAGGATAAATATCTGTGGTAAATCGATTAAAGTAGAGAGATTTACGATACAGAAACACATTCCAAATAATAGCGTGTATTTTTTAAAACCAGTTTGTTTACGTCATCACGTTCTTGACACATTACACCGAACACACATTTTATATTTTACAAAAAAAGTACTTGCAATTTTATTGCCAAGAAATTTTATTCGTTTGAAATACACATAGATCTATAAAGGTAGACCAAGATTAACTTGTGTGAAAGTTTAGCATGTTGCTGCTGTTTGTATTTACGATATAAAAATGAATATTATTAACTAATATTTTGTTAGATTAGATAAAATATTTTTCATTATTTCAAATGAATTTACTAATAATCTACTATTAAATGAAAATTAAATAATCCGTTAAAATATTATTTTTAATTTAAACAATATTTTATTAATTTTGTAATCACAAAACAAAGACACAAAACTTGATATTTCTTATTTGACGAAATTTTTAACAGTACTTGCCAATTTAGAAGGTATTAAATTTTATTACACATGTAAATTGTTTCTTAACATACCTATTTTAACAGATTATCCAAATTTGCACTGTATAGGTCCGCATGTAACACGATGCACGGTCTTACGGTCGCACGAAAGGAATGCGCTTAGAGCGAGGAACGTTATCGTGAGCGACGCGTAGATCACTGGATCATGCGGGATCCCCAAGTCACTCGGCAGTTTTGTGAACAGTGGGGAACGTGAAAAAACAACAATTCCTCGAATATAACGACGACGTCAATGGTCAGAACGCTCGAATCGCTTGAACTTGACTGAACACTGAAACGATACAACGTACCAAGAATAGTCGAGGTATAAGACTCAACCAAGGTCGTTGTCTCCTTCTCTATCGTTTACTTGTTCCTTTTTTTCTTCGTATGCGTATGTGTCATTTTCTTCGTGTGAATACTGATAGCGACGCATTATTAATCGCGACCAGGTGTAACAGGATTTTCCAGCCTGATTTCAACATTAATAATGCATCTAGATCTTCTTAATTATAACATTCTTAGTTTAATGGAAAAAGAGAAGTTTTTGATTATTGATTTTTAAATTATGGTTATTTATAAATTATGTAAATTATTTTATAAATATACTTAGAATATAAATTAGTCATCGATTTTATAACATTTTATTACTCATATTTAACATTGTAAAATTTTTGTTTTCGTTATGTAAAAAATCAACTTTTTAAACAATAAAAAGTTTTCGAAAAAATTATTTACATGGAAACTACTGTAAGCTCATAAATATGTACGAGAAAAATTTGAATTTGTTTGAAGAGAGAAATCCACACAATGTCACGTTTTCTGAAGCAACGTTATTCCGTGACGTTTCATTCTGATCACGTATCTATACTTTTTTACTCGCATTTATACTTCATTTTCTAAACGGTTCAATTTAAATAAATATAGTCACATTTAAGATTAAAAAATTGCAGAAATTGCAGTTTATGATTATTATAATGCAACTGCAGAAATGCAGAAGAGATTTCTATAGAACTCTGTGTTCTATAGAATTCTATACTCGGTAATTAGAGACTTCCTTTTTTTAACAGAATGAAAAGTGATTTTTCACAATCGTAAATGCTTTCTTACCTCTTATATTATAATGCAAATTCATGCAATTACCAGTTGTGCTTCCATTTAGTCATGAATTAATTAGATTATGCAAAGGTCTCTGTAAGGAATTACACAATTTGTAATGTCAGTTACATATAGGGACATAAAAAAAATGAGATAAATTCATATCATTCTTGCATAATTAATAATGTTTTCTAACTAAAATTGTATTTATTTTTTTCCAATATTCATAATTAATAAAACAAAATTATATAATAATATATCAAAGTAACAGCATGAATTTGTATTATAATATAAGAGGTAACAAAGTGTTTACGTAACGTCAGACAGTTTTCAATAAAATAATTCAGAAAACAACGTCGAAATGCTAGAAATGTAACAGGAAAATAATGATTTGACTTTTTTTACAGTTAAGTCGGTTCATCCACTATTTAAAAGTCAAGGCTATTCTTAAGCTACATACATATTTAGTAAACGTAAAAATACCTTTGATGTTTTTTAAATTCTACACAATTAAAAATGTATATTTAATGCATACAAATGTGCGTAAACACTTTTCTTGTTTTGATATTTTTTTTTACTTTTAAAAATTAGAATACAATTTTAATTATTTACATTACAGTAGTATTATTATTATTATACATTATAAGGTATCAATAAATAATATTATGTGAGCAATCTTTTCCACATAAAAAATTGTTTTATTTGATAAATAGTGTTTTTACTATATTTGTGTATTATTCTCGTTGCACTCATTGTCCCTGACTTTATCTAATTATAAGTCGTTCCGAGAAATCATCCGTAATGCATAACGTAATTTACGTAAGTTACACGAAAAGTAAAAAAAAAAGTTATGTATTAGCTTCAACTTATCCGCAAATTGTTATATATCATTTGAATTCACAAGTCCAAAGTATTTAAATGCGCATAAACAAGATAGTAATAGATTTCCAATTAAGAATTTAATCGTCAGATCACCAATAAAAATTCTGCATGTACGTCAGTTACAAATTAGATATGCATCGTTTCAAGTAGCAAAATTATAACGCAAGAAATTTGCCATTAGAAGTACCTAATGACGCGGAAGTAACGAAGGTGCGTAATGTTATTTTTATAGGATGGGTGCAACCTCAGGTATGCGCTGGACCGACTCGTGCCTCTTTATGCGAGCCGGCAAGTCGCGAGCAGTCGAGATTTCGGAATTTCGGAATCTCAACAACGGCTGAACGGATTAATTTCTAAGTAGGCTCAGTCAATAGCTTAGGTTTGAATTATATAATAGTGTAAGTAATGTAAAAATGTTTTTATTTTTCCACTACGTGCTCTACGAGCAGAGTTATTGCGAGACAAAGTCCAAATCTGGGAATTTTGCTTTAAGAAATATGACATGATGAGATGTACGCTATATATGAGATGAGAATTTTACCACTAGGTGATTATAAATTACAAGACTGAATTATTTGATTATTATATCAATATAAATATTAATAACTGTTATATATATATATATATATGTTTATTATATGTTTATTGTTAAATTATATGTTTATATATACATATATATATATATATATATATATATGTGTATATATAAACATATAATTTTATAATTTGTTAGGCTAAATTTACATAAAACATTTTTAAGAATTGTAGAACTAAGAAAGTTTAAATATCGCGTGAGATTAATTAGTTTATAAATAATATAAAACATATTTAATTAAAAATAATTGTGGTTTTTATGATATAATATAAATTTTTCTATATAAAAGTTAATGTTTAATTCTCAGATTTACTTATGTTATCTAATATAAGAAATATAAATAATTACCCATTTGAACTCTCGTTACAATTGACCACGTTGCGATTGACCACGCGTTACAATTGACCACGTTGCGATTGACCACGCGTTACAATTGACCACGTTGCGATTAACCACGTCGCGATTGTCTCTTCAAACAAATTTCGTATATTGGAAAAAGTCGGTTTTAAATAAATTGAGAAAAAAAATTATCAGAGATTATTCGAGACTAAATAATGTTCACTCAATTTTTTTAAAATAATAAACAATATTAAAAATAACATTAACGGCAATAATAACTAAATATTCACATTTCGTCATACCGCCCCCCTCCCAAAACAACTCTGGATCCGCCACTAGGAATCCGCAAACCGCGTTGTAATTGATAAAGATATATAGTAATTTGTGTACTGACCGAAACTACTAACACGCTTAATTACATAATCGAGCAGACCGAAGATAATAGCGTGATTGTAACGGTACACCTTGATATAATGTTTAATTCACTTTCTAAAAGACCTTTCCTTCCGATTCCAGGTCAATCACTGGCCCTCCAATTACTACAGCAACATGTAAACGCTGTACTTTTCCTTCCGATATAAGTATTTCAGGCCAATCATTGGTTCTACTATTGCTGCAGCAATACGTGAACGCTGTACTTTTCCTTTCGATATATGGTATTCTAACAAGTCAATCACTGATCTTCCTATTGCTGTAGCAATATGTTTATATGAATACATCGTGGAAAAGTAAAAGTATAATGTATTGTACCTTCAGCTTTTCGTAACAAGTATTACACATCTTCCACATATTTCACATAATTAAAATTGTATGCGTACTGTATGTAAATTACATATGTACCTGTAATTTCTTTAGTAAAGTGAGAAAAAAAACGAGTACTACGTCGCACAAGCATTAATTTTAACTGTTAATGTTTGCGTCAAAGGTGAGATTTTATAGAGGTAATAATGCCAAGTTACTCTTTTTTTATCTAGATAATTTGCATTATTGCCTCTATAAAATCTTACCTTTGATGCAAACATTAACAGTTAAAATTAATACTTGTGCAACGTAGTACTCGTTTTTTTCTCACTTTACTAAAGAAATTCTTAAAGAATACAAATTTCGCACTTAACATAAAATTTTCAAATTAATCGCTAATAGAAAATGCAAGTAAAATGTACGGAAATGCGTTTATTAATCTAATGATAGATTATTATATACTACGAACGTAGGTAGCTTATTATGTATATATACTAGAAACAACATAAATAGATTATAATACACTACAAACTTCGTTTCATTCATTACGTAAAATATTCATATCTAATAAAAAAAAATATATAAGCACCTTTTTCGTTTAATTTCTAAGCTTTTATCAAATCTAATTTCGAATTCATTGCGTCTCTTTCTTTCTGTTTTCGATCGACATCCGCTAAAAAGTCTAGTATCAAACGCATTACGCTCTCCGGAACAATCCTGAAGACAATGAAATATATTAAACATATCATCAACGCAACGTAATCATGGGTGAATGATTATAAATGAAATAATATAAACTATAAAGGTAATACAAATTTGATTTTTAAATAGATGTGATTGAACATGTGATAACTGCGCGACTTCTGATACTTCCGATATGTACCTGTTGATTGCATTCAAAGAAAAGAGACATCGCGGTATTGAATATTCCGTATAGTTCTTTCGAATTGCTTTAATTATTTCACGAGCGGCATATTCCGGTGTCACGACGCCGAAGATATAAGGAAATCTGCAATTAATATTCTGGATGAAAGTCCATTCCTAATCGATTATTATCACGAGTACAAAACAAGTAAAGTATCGTGCAGATTATAATGCGTAAAAAAGCATGTCATATAACATTATACAGACAAGAAAACTCGTCTCCTTATAATTTTCTCGTCAACTTTACATTTAAATTAATCTTAATTGCTATAATCGTTATCGTGTCGCCGATTGATTCTATATATTTTTTAAATTAAATTTGCACTTTAAAGGTGTATTCTGCAGAAGTTTCTACTATGAGAAAAAAAAGATGCGTAATAAAATTTTTCTAATACATCATGATATTTTTTAAATCCACGACCTTAATTGCGTTTTATAGATAACGTTAAATATATTATAAATTAGAAATCGTCGAAGATAGTGAATCATAGACGCAATAGTTTTTTTCTAATCTCATTATTACTTCACGGATCAGACCGTTCCACTTACTGCGTGCTAATTACATTCCACGCAACTATGCTACGTTGGATAAAGACGACTCGTTTCGTAAATACAATGCTTGCGTGCAAATTACCGCGACTAGCCGGAAGACGCGGACGTGCTATTTCATCAGGGATATCGTAGATGTATGCTCGTTAAAAAAATATTCGTTTAATTAATAACACAATGAATACAATCGCGTGATGCGTATGAGTGAGATATCATTACATTACGTGTATATTAAATTTGTGCGTTTTCTTTTGTGCTATAATACCATACAAAACGTAGTATTTATTATTAAGCGAATCTAAGTATGTTTTCACCTGTATTTGGGATCCTTCGCTAACCCTGTGTCAACGTAGAACGGATATATCGTTGTGAAATGGATATTGGGTTTTCTTTCATTTAATCGTATTTCCTCGTGAAGTGCCTCCATAAGACCTACCAATTGAACGACTTGTTACGATTTGCTAAATAAATAAAATCTTGATAAGATACCTCTCATAGCAAATTTTGATGAACAATACGCCACTTTTTGCGACACTCCATAAATGCCACACATGCTATTTATCGCTACTATGTGACCGCTCCCTTTCAACAACATCATAGGCAAAAATGCTTCAATTGTCTTGAAAATTCAAAACATTATAAATTACTTGTACCTCAATAAAATTGGTTTTTTAATTATTTTTAAAGAAAAGATATATTATTGATAAGTTTTTTAATTAAAAGTATTAAGAAGAAGAGTTTACCCAGAAATTCGAAAGCACGTTAACGTTAAATGTCTTTTCCACGTCATCCGAATCAAAAGTCAGATATGGCTTATGATACAACACAGCCGCATTGTTAATGAGTATCGTCACATCCGGCACACCGACTTTTCTCATCAGTCTTACTGTATCGCGCACTTCCAATCTCTTTGAGACATCGACCACAAAACCGTAAACCTAAAAACAGCTACACTCAAGTTTTTCTGATAACGCATGATTGTACCTCTTCCACGAAAAGTTGTATTAAAAAAATGAAAACAAAAATGAAACAGCAGGTTAATATATGCTTACCTCACCACCATTTTTTGACACTTCTCTCATTGTCAATCGATTGTTATCAATATCACTGTCCCAACAAACAATTATACAACCCATCGAGGACAATTGGATGGCTAATTCGCGGCCAATTCCATGACCAGCTCCAGTAATCTAATTTCATAAAATATTTTTGATGGGATGTACGTAAATTTTAAGGATTTAAAGTTATTGCAATATTTTGACTATGTTCGGTGAAAAGCAGAATAAACTTACGAGAACGGTTTCTCCTAGTAAACGTTTCATGGAACATGGTACAATCATTCTGAAAGTCGCAATTATCATCGCCAGACTTATCTTTACCGACAAAAGAGACAGATCCAGAAATAGTCGGTGCAATTGGATGTCTTTGAAAATACGTTGAATAATCTTCATCTTGGAATAATAAATAAAAATATATAAATCAGATAAACTTCATGAATCATTATTCATGCAATGTTCTCTCCATTAATTAAAAATTTCACATTTAATTGTGCAATAAAGAAAGAAACTTCTTCATGTAACACAATTATTTTAATCGCGATAATTGCGAATTCTTGGAGAAAATTTAAAAATGTAACGTTCAAAATTCGTAGAAATTCCTAAATAGAAATTATAAAAAACAGAATGGAAAAATCCGCTCGTAAATCTCGCGAACGCACCATAATTTTATGACGCAAGCCTCAACAGACTGTTCGCCGATCACTTTCCTTCCTACTGCGAAACGTCTCGGTGGGGCGACCAGTTTATTTAAGAATCCCGAAAGTTGTTCTATACAGTTGATATATGCAGTTTTAACAACACTATGTCATTAAACTAATGACAGTATTGACAGTTCATAGCCATGACATCATATATGAATTTATAATATCAATCGACTCGAAATTGCATTTCTTTGTTTTTAAATTATGAAAAAAAATGAAATTCAGAAATAAAGTTAGTGATTTATTCATCTAAAGTCCATGGCATATACAAAAACGTAAAGCATTAAGACGTAAGCAGTAAGCGAATCGGCCAATTACAGTAGAGAACGTAAGATTATTGCCTTACGTTTTCTACTGTGATTGACCGATTTGCTTACTGCTTACGTCTTACTGCTAAATGTTTTTCTATGTGCCATGAGCTTTAATTCTTTTTAAAGAATATTGATGTTTTATTTTGAAGATTTTTTTATTTTTGTAATTTTAAACCTTCGTTGTCATACCTCTGTCATGTCTCGCGGTTGTCACACTGGATCAATTTAACAAAATTGATTTCGAAATGCCTGTCATTCTAAAACTATCCGTCTAGTAATTTTTTGTTATAGTGTACGTTTCAAAAAGAATTTATTCCGACATCTGAAGAGGGTAATGATCCTCTTCAAATACTTAGAACATACAATATATTAATATATGTTCTAAGTTCAAATAGCTGCTATACATATACACTGATGTGTTTTTGAATAACCTATACTACCTCAACCGATAGAAGAGTTTTCAAACTTTCGATAAATAATTGCATGAAGACCTATTATAAGCTACACTTTTTCGGAAATGCAATTTAGAGATGTAGACAATTTTTGAAAATGTACAAATCATAATTTAAGGCATCATATACATACATAGACGTTATAGATATATTTTTAATAATTCTTTTTTAATAAGACTTATTCAAAATTTTGAAATGTTTCTTAGAGATAATTTTAAAATATAATTATCTTTTGAGTTACTAAAATTATTTAAAAAATTTGTTATTAAATAAAAGTGCCTACTCAGTTTCTACGTAATTTTGCTCCTCTGATATTGCGCTTTATTGTTTTATCTCGCAGAAAATATTGATTTTTGCATAAAAGTAGCTGTCAAGGAATATTTGGTTTCCTGTCTGTACGGAAAACGTACTTGCTTTCCCTCTTTCTCTTTGTGTTAAACAGACCATAAAACAACCGCGTGAATATTTGTTTAAGAGATTTTATCTTGTGGTGAGAACCAAGATGTTGAGAGTGAGAAAGATCGTCAGGCATCCAAAACTGAGGAGATTCTGGACGAAATGGCGGATTCTTATGTGGAAAGCTGTGCTTATGCGGTTGCATAGCCGGATAACCACTGCCCTAGAAATAATTATAGCCATTGTTTTTTCGTTACAGATACGTTTAATGTTTGAGTCACATGCTCTTCATTCGCAGGTAGCCTAACTGGCAATCATAAAGTTGGATTAAACAAATTTATCTTGAGACTAATAATCTTACAACTTAATTCTTATTTTCAATAATTGCTATACTTAATACTTATATTTTTATGTTACTTTTCTTATATTTTATATAAAGGATTTAGATCGATATAGTCGCAACGATATCCTGGCAAAATTGCCAGATGACGTGCAATGCTGGTATGCACCGAGAAATACATTTGTAGATGAGTTAATGCTAAAAGCTGCGAAAATGCTTCGTACAAATAGTAAGATAATATCCTAAACGTGCTTATATAAGAAATTAAAAGTTACATATTAATATCAGTTCAAGCAGCCGATAGCGAAATTAACCTAGTGCATTCACGTTACGCGAAAAATGACACGTCCAAGGTACTATGGGCGATATTTGAGATTAATAAGCTTGCATCTGAAAAGCCGAAAATCCTGGAATATAAAATACGTTCGTCTGAAATAGGCGAGAATCGAATGATTATGATGCACGACGAAGAGCCTGTCCATAAAGGTATTCTAAATGTATCTTCATAAATAATATTATAGCTAGACATTTTTTAAATCTTAAATTAATCCGTGAGTTATTTTTAATGTTTTTACTTTTACTTTAAGACATTTTGCATTTTAAAACCATTATTGACATTAAATATAAATTACTTAAATACAAGTTTCAATTCAATTTACATTAAATACTAATTTATTAGCACAGTATAACGACGATGCAGTTAAATTTAATTTTAAATGTGTGCTCTAAGCACAACGTAGTTAAACCATTCAATAAAATGTTTAATGTTTATTTTCGAAGATCCATATATATTAAGTGGTTTTATGGCACTACAAATCGCGATTGAGAAATCCTTCGTAGAAATGTGGACAGATCCGACACTACCGAGGATCGCTGATAATGTAAGTAATTTAAAAAAAAAAATGAAATTTTGCAATGGAACTGACATAAATTATTACTGTAATAAAGAGCGGTTAATGAGAGATTTCTTTACAGTTAACTATAGGTCGATTTCCATTTTACAAAGTCAATTTCTTAATCTTGCCATATGTCATTCGACCCAACATAAACATAATCTATTACATAATGGTTATTGCCTTCGTTTTGCTGCCAGTAGCAACATTAAAAAAAGCTCTCCATGATAAAGAAACCGGATTCCGAGTGAGCTTCTGCTAAACAAAATTAATTTTGCTTTTGGCCGATATAATTGTTCTTACATCTTCAACAACATTGCCTATTGTTAATAAAAATCTTATTCCAGGGTCTTATGAGATTAACAAATATGTCTTTCGCAATGTTATATGTCGGATGGCTCAATTATCTTATGATCATTTTGTTACCCGTGTCGATCGCATGCACGATCCTCCTGTCACATGTGTTTTCATCCGCAAACGCGCTAGTCATCGCTATATTTATTATAATGTATAATATACTCTCAACGCTTTTCATGTTCACCATCGGCACATTTTTCAATCATTGTAAGTCACTAAAACATGTAAAAAAAAGAGAGCGCATATAGCACGCAAACATTTGTGTGAGAAAACGAAGAAGTTAGCTTCAATGATAAATTAATCTGACGCTCTCGCAATATTAAAGTATACATATAATTTTTTTTAAATACACAACTCAATTTTTATCTCTAAAAATTTTAGTCTGACGATTAAAATAAATATTTATCATTAAAATTTTAATCTTATGATTGCGCGTCATTTTGCTGTAGCTACGAAAGCATTGCTTACTTCGGTTTTATTTTGGCTCTTCCTGACACACTTCACTATTGTTCTGGACCAATTCTTGGTAGGAGAATCTATCTTGTGGAAGATCAGTTCGCTGCTTCTGCCGCATAATGGTTTGCTTTATGGGATAGTAGCCTTCACGATTCGCACGGATTTCGGTGAGTTTATCTATTATTTAAGCTTAATCTAAATAAAATAGCAGTTATTTAAAATAATGACTCAATTAAAATTTTATTATATTTTATTATAAAATTACATTATTTATTCATAATGCTTAAATTAATTTTTGCAAATATCATGTTTATTCAAACCAAATAAAGAAATAAATTTTTATTCGCATTTTTCAATATAATGTATATCATTTTTTTAAATAAAACTTTTATTACTTATTTGTTATTTATAAACTTACTCAATTTATGTATAAAATGTAAATTATGTAACTATGCAAAATGAGAAAATTTTATGTGAGTTGCATAACGTGCATTCCTCATAACAAGTTATCCAAGCGTATAAATTTCAATGAACGGCTGTTTATCACAATATTTCAATCTATTGATCATAATTCTTTTTTAACTAGCAGTTTATGTTTTCATACATTTGTTATTCTAGAGGAATATACTACTTCATTCATAATACTATACTTGCATTCATAATTATAATATGTATATAAATTTTTGTAATCTTATCATTTAAATTTATTATTATAAAAAAATATTTTGCGAGGAAGGTTAATCGTTATATATGTTCATTAGTACACATGTTTATTAATAAACATAAAGCGTGCATTATGTCGTTATTTTCACGCCGATAGATGAAAGCAAAGATTCGAGAAGCATCTGGCAAAAAATAAAACCGCGCAATTACACTAGTCCTACCTCGTATTTGTGGCCGCGATGGCTTTCTGAATCGATAACGCTACGAGATGTCCACGATGTCATTCATGCCGCAAAAGAAATTCCTATTGGCGTAGTTCTATTTGCCTGGATGTTGCATATTATTTTCTGGTTTCTACTAGCGGTATACTTGGATAATGTTAACCCGGGGAAATTTGGCAGCGCTAAACCCTGGTACTATTTATTCAAAGTAAATATAAAAGAAATTTAATTTTAATATATTATAAAAATTATTTCTCTTTAATTTATCTTGTATAAGTGACACTCGTGTATGATAGTTTTCTCTATAATTAGAATTATTCTTATTTATGTTTTTGAAAGCATATAAAGATTACTTTTATGTAGCATTTACAAATCATAAATAAAAGTATTTTTCTAGAAACCTATTCATGATAATGATGATTTAACGATCCGAGGATCAACTAATTGGTCGGCAGTGGAACATACACCATCGTACATAAAGGTATAATATTAAAATCGTCTTAAGTCTGGTCATGGACGGTCTTAAGATTCCATCTATTCAAAGAAATGACCGTGCAGCAACTCGAGATTGTACTTAAAACGACCTTGAATATAAACTCGAACTATGAATAACTGTATTTCTTTTAAATTCACATACAGATATTCTGGTAACATGATTCGTCTGTTTAAAGCAACTATGTGCATGATATAAAAACAATGAAGCATATAATCATTTTTTTATGATTACGTAATATAATTTACAAATTTACATACTTTAAAATAACTTTAAAATATGCTTAGTATTACGATTTTTATTATTTTGCGAATTTGAAATCACAGGTTCTTTTTTAAAAATTAATGTGTAAAATAATTCAAAATTAGTAATATATCATAATAAAAAAACATCTCAACATTTATATTACTTTCAAAAGGCTATTATTATACAAAAGTAATTAATTATACAAAAATCATTCGAGTTCACAGAAAATATTTTCTACGAAGCATTAATAATTATCTATATTTCAATTGGCCAATTAATCTTAGTTGATTCATTGCATAATTTATTTATCTATGTGAACAAGTCGTCTGTTCGAGTGAGGTGTGTTCGAAAGGAATTCGGCAAAATTGGCGAACGCATTACAGCTATAAACGATATAACAATCGACTTTTATCATCAAGAATTCAGTGTCATTCTGGGTCACAATGGCTCCGGCAAAAGCTGTTTGTTAAAGATAATTATTGGTATAATAAAAAATAAATGCATCAACTGATATTTGCCGACATTTAGATATTGACGAAATTGTAATACGCGACAGGAATGTACAAACCGACTCATGGCCACGTTTACTTGGAGAACGGAAATTCAACACATCCGATTGGTTATTGTCCGCAGGAAAATATATTGGTAAATTATTTCACGACAGTGCAGCATCTTTATATATTTGGCATGGTAAATATCCTTTGTTATTAAAAAATGACAATTTCGATTTTTTAAATAATGTTTTAAATCTGAAATAAATATTTTAATATTGTAATTATGTAAAATACTTATTTCATTTATAAATTATCAATTTATCGTTTATGTAAGTTTCTCTCATTAAAAATTAAAATTTTTTTGTTTAAGCGTCCAAAAATGAATAGCTATAACAACATAGGATAAATTTATGTATAAAAAAATAAGTACTACACTGACCTAAATATGAACATGAATATGAATATGAGTTTCCTAATACTTGTTTCTAATTGCCTGATTTAATATTAGAGAACAAGTTCTATCTTTCTCGGGCTACTACTAATTTACTATCCAAACAAGATATAAAAAAAAATAGTTCATTTGCTTAACTAATATTTTGTAAAAGTACAGTGACAAAATATATTTCCACATAAATTACACATTCGAATTCAGATAATCTTCAAGTTATCGCAAGGATAATATATATAATGTATAAAAATGTATATATTATGTTTTTGTAGCAACTGTTTACTGTTATTAAACAATGTCTAGTATTTTACATATAAAGTGTTAAATATTGAATAAAAATTAACAATTATTTTAATTAAAATATTATTTCTTTTTCAATTAACCTAAATATTTTGATCATTAAATAAATAGTTCAGTCTGAAATATTATCAGTAAAAATTAAGTTTATATATATACGCAATACGTATATAATTAAAACTAATGCTAAAGTTATCAAATTTTTAAAATGTTTACTCGATAATATAATTTTTATTTTAGATAAAAGGAATGACTTATAAGGATGCTTATAGAGAATCTTTAAAATTGTTGAAACAGCTCGATTTAGAGTATGTAAAGGATACAAAAATGAAATCTTGCTCCTTTAGTGCGAAAAGAAGAATTTGTTTAGCAATGGCACTTATTGGCAACACTGAGGTACATGATTTTAATTTAAAAGCTTAATCATAATAAATTATAATAAATACGGATTTTACTTCGACGTTAATCAAATTAATAGCAATAGATAAATTGAAGCAATATTATTTAATTTAAATTGTGAAAATATAAATTCTGACAGATTCTCATCCTCGACGAACCTACATACAGTATTGATCCTGAGCACAAACGACAGATATGGGATTTACTTTTGGTGAGTGATTTTCTTTGAGCAGATTGCTTTAATATGAAATAGAGAGTCTATCAAATAAAGCACAATCATATTTTGCAGGATATAAAAAGACATAAAACGATATTAATGGCAACGAATTCCATGGAAGCTGCAGATTTTCTTGCCGATAGAATCGCTATTATTGCAAACGGAAGGATAGAATGTTATGGTTCAAAAATGTATCTGAATCGTCGATATGGTAGATCTGACATAATTCATTAACAAAATAAATAATATAAAATAAAATTAATTCATTTTGTTAATATTTATAAAAATTAAAAGACAAACTAATTTTTTTATTGTTAATCAAACTTACAAAATTATTTGAAATTAGGGATCGGTTATGTTCTAAGTTTATTGGTGCAAGAGGATTGCAACGTGAAGCAAATTCATATGGAAATACAAGAATTTTCGGCAGATCCAATTACTTTACGAAGTATAATGGGTTTAGTAATAAGATTTGACGTGCCAAGAAATAGTCGATTCACTAAATTGCTCCAACATTTAGAATTCAACAAAGAAGAATTGAAAATTGTATCGATTACATTAAGTGCTGCTAGCATCGAAGGTCAATTTCTTAGGTAACCATTTAGGTTTCATATCAACGTTTATTTCCAATTTAAAATTATTAACCAATTTTTGCTTATATTTAAATGTTAAATCTTAAGATTTTTTATTTATAAGATATATACCGTTGAGAAAGATTATTTTTAAATTCTTAATGATATAAAAATATATTTTAAAAATTAAGAGATAGGCCTGTACCAACGCTAATTATTTCGTATTTAGAATAAGTTTAGAAAGTCAATTTAAGGAACGCGGCGTGAAATTACCTAGCGACAAATACGAACTTCTTGTGCAACAGAGGCGACGACACTTATTGCAAACAGGTGGTAAAATTTTTTTTATCCGTAATAACTTATGTAAAGTAACCTAGCAATATGTAATATATTATTTAATATTATGTAATATTATAAACTCCTAATCAAACTATGTTGATCTAAAATATAATCAGCTGAACCATGGAAGCGATTGACTGGTGACGCTTTATGGCGGCAGCAAGTTTTCGCAATGTTCTACAAGAAATTATTGCACATCGCTTCGTCCTGGAAAATATATGCGTTTTTCGTAAGTTTGCGTTTCGTTCTGCCAAAAGGTACATATTTTTATAAATAATCGAAGCCGTTTTTCAGATAATCTTGGCGATTATTACTCTCACTCTGACCACTATGATCTCCGAGTTGAGCAGTTTCACAGTCTTCGACACGACGTAAATTAATCTTATTTGTTTTATATTGTATAAAGGAAGAGAAAAAATCAAAATAAAAACTTAATTATTCCTGTAGTAAGCAAGTAATGAATCTAACGAGCTACATGGACAATAATTTTCACGTGCTATATTACGCAGCCGATGACAAATCCATGAGAGATTTTCTCGTAACGTTATACATTACTAGTCAAGCGTACAGTGAGAGGCATAATTATCATATCTCCAAAAACATTCCAGCCACGGATCTTATGGTTCAGCCTAACTGGCACTCGATAGAGGTACCGTAACGAATGTATTCTAAAAATTTGGCAATTAATTAATTTTATAGCAGTTTAGGGATCGTTACGTGATGTCTATCGACGTACACACAGATGGACGCGTACAACTTATGTATTCGTCCATTGCAATACATAGTGGGCCAATTGCATTAAATTTACTGCACAATGCGTTACTGCGTTACCATTGCGGTTCGGACAATTGTTGGATAAAATTGACTAGTCGACCGTTAATTTATCCGGGGCAGGTAATATCTCCAATATTCAAATAAGAAAATATGAAATGAATTATTTATCCTCCACGTTTTTAAAAAATTTAGATATATGCATTTACAGTGGCAACATTTGTTGGTCCATCCACGCAGCATACGAAACTGGGAAAATGCCGCTATAATAATAACTTTGTTCCTTCTTCTACCCTCTATCGACATGGGTATACGAGAACAAAATACACGCTCAAAAATGCTGCAAATTAATACGATCGGTATGTCTACAAAGATTTATTGGATTCCGATGTATATTATTGATTTCCTTCTGTATGCGGTCTCTATAATACTCTTTGGCATTACTATCTTAAGTATCTATCGCCGCACAGTACACTTCTCAAATTTAGAAATCGGTAAGAATTTTAATTATGCGAAATATTTATTTATCTTTTCATTCCATTAAACATTTTTTTATTTTTTGTATTTTAAAATTTATTAAAAATCAACGTTTTTTAAAAATATTTTACATATATTACGGCAATAAAACATAGAACAAAAATATTATATATTTATGTATTAAAATATACATAAAAATTAGAAGTTTAAATCTACAATGCCTGTGATTAAATTAATGTTTCAGTTCAAGTGCTAATGATATTCCTATGTTACGGAGGGTGCGCCATTCCATTAGGTTATTTCATACAACTCTTCACAAAAAAACCGGAAAATGCGTACCTAATCATAATATTGATCAATATCGTAGCCAGTCAGTAATTTAATAAAGGATTCAATTTTTTATGCTGCTTTATAAATTTCATTGTATAAAAAGAATTTAATTCTATATATAAAAATATCTTTATATAAAAATATCTTTAAACGTTGAATTTTGCAGTGTTATTGGTGAATAGCTCTATTATATTTCCATTGGTATTTCATGCACTCGGCAGCACCGAAAGATACGTATTCGAAGCTGTCATACATATATTTCCACCATACGTTCTAGCTTGTGCTTTAAGCAATTATATTATGCTGAATTTATATAACAGACAATGCAGCTATTTCAATACCTGCAATACAGAATTTTATATTGAGGATTCATGTTGTCGTAAGCTTAAAAAAATTATTATCGTAACAAATTATTGTTTCTGCTATGCAACATTGATCTGATATTTCAGAAAATTGTAAAAACAAAGGTTGTTATAAACAATTGGACATGATGCTGATTAAACAATCCGGCTTCGAATATAATCACTCGGTCATAGACGACATACTTTTAATGGTATCCCAAATGTTTGCCTTTTACATACTGCTGGAGATTTTTGAAGAAAAAAATCGTAGAAAATGGTATAGTTATTTTATGCCTCCTGTGAAAGACGATGATATTGTAGAGACGGAAGTTATGCAGGAAAAGAAGCAAGTCGAGGAATATATGAAACGTAAAAGAGTCAATATAAAAATAAAAATTAGCTGCATTTATATTACGCTAAAGCTTATAATTTTTATATATATAAATGTTTTTATTATTAATTATTTTTATTAGAAAATATCTTTTTCCTGCATATATAGATTATAATGAAACAAAATTGCTTCCATCGCGAGTTGCTCTCGTTGTCCAAAATTTGACAAAAGAATACGCTGGCAAGGCTGTGGTTCAAGAAATCAATTTTAGTGTAAACGAATTTATCTAATTCTAATCAAAATATTTGTTTCTGTATCTTTTTTTATTACTGTATATATTGCAATATTAAATATACAAATTTTTTTAATTCAGATCTACAACCAAGAGTGTTTCGGTTTGTTAGGATTTAACGGTGCGGGAAAATCAACAATATATAAAATGTTGGTAGGTCAGACAAAGATGTCAGCTGGAAGGGCAGTGATATATGGATACGAATTCACAAGAGATCAAGAGATGGTGAATATCATTTTATTAATCTTAAAAATATGTGATCAAGTTATTACAAGTAGTACATCCTAAAGTATTTAATGAAAAGTATGTAACTTTTTTGTGTCTAGCATTTTATAAAGATAAACTTTCTATTTACCTTTATACCTTTAACTATTAGAAGATAATTAATTTTTTTATGTAAAAAATATCGTAAAGTTTGTAGGTATGATAGGATACTGCCCACAAATTGATGGACTAAACGATTTTATGACAGGAAGACAATACTTGCAACTTTACGCGGCACTTCGCGGTGTTCCATACGAGCACATCAACGACGAAGTGAACAAATGGCTGGATGTATTAGGTATAAAAAAATGTAATCGAAAATAAATTAAAAATTTGTCGCTTTGTTAAAAATGACTCAAAGTATTAATGCCAAATAATATTTAATAATAAAATTCTAGATATGTTAGATTTTGAAAATCTGAAAATCGCCCATTATCCTTGGGGAATTCAAAGAAAACTTTGCATACTGCAAAGTTTTATCGGCGATTTACCGATGGTATTTATGGACGAGCCTTCCGCCGGAATTGACATAATGACCAGACACGCAATCTGCGAAATTTTGCATCAGATACGGGAAATGGGAAGATCTGTATTAATTACTACACACAGGTTAGTTAATAAGCTTATAATAAACGAGATACATGTTAGATTTAATTTTGAATTTCAGTATGCAAGAAGCAGAAGCGATGTGTTTGCGCGTAGGTATTTTGGTTAACGGCCAGTTTACCGCAATTGGATCTTGCGAGTATCTAAGAGCAATATATGGCCGTAACTTTATATTGAATATTAAAATAATACCAGGATACCAACTTGCGAATCTTGAGAAAATTAAGAAAATCATTGACGAATTCTTTCCAGCAATAAAATTCAAGGACAGTTATTTGGTAAATAAATATTTGAATTTAATTTACTATTCGAATTTGGATAAATAAATCGAACGCATATGGAAAATTTTGATAATATGTAAACTAAAAAAGAAATTTATATAAAATATATTTATTTTTACTATGCTTTATAGGGTGTTCTTAAATACGAATTTGAAAGTGGCATTTCGTACAGTTATGTGTTTGATAAACTCGAAAAGCTAAGACAAAAATATGTGTGGATCACGGACTTCACTATTGCTCAACCGTCAATGAATGAAGTATTTCTAACTTTAGCAAAGAAGCAAAGAGAAACTCGTAAGAAATTAACACTTTACGAACGTCTACGTTCGTGGATTATACGTGTTATGCGTCAAATAAATTTTACTGCCACATAATAATTCTTTGTACATATATATAACTATGTGCATGTTTTTTATTATTGTATAAAAGTTATTTTTATATCTTATACATTATACTTGTTTAAGCAATATTTATTTATTAATATTACATTTCTTCTATTAGTATTATCTCTCGGGACACTTATTAATTCAATACAATCGATACTAACATATGTACAAAGTCTTATTTGTCGATATTAACATAATTACAGCTCTTTAAGAAAAGTGTAATAAAATTGATCTCTATTGTTTTCTGTTTACATTTATATATTATTTTTCTCACAAAAATAAAGAAATTTATATTTAAAAAAGAATTTTAATTTCTTAAGTAATAAAATTTGGAATCCTTTATAATTTAACAAATTATTTATCTAATAAAAAACCCACTGTTTTCCATAAAGTTTGCGGTGTTGTGAACTAATTCACCGACGATCGTTTATGTCGGTGTTCTGCAATTATCTTTGAGGCTTACTCCACTCTTGCCAAACGTGAATATTTATTCAAAATTACAGAAATATTCAGTATTTTGTTGTTGTTATAATTTATTTATAGATAAAAACATTTTACTTTTTTCTCTAGATAAAAACTATTATTAATTAAAAAAGATATTAGAGGAAAAGTCTTTCGCTCTCCCGAGTAATACTTCAGTGTATATTTAGTAAACCGAGAAATGTAACTTACCGGTTATTGATAAATTTATACCAATTGTAACTCAAATATATTTCTTCAATATCTGCAATACGTGTATTTATATAAGTACATTAATATACCTATACTAAATTATAAATTTTGTAAAAGCAGAGAACATTTAAGAATTTAATGCAAGTAGTAGTTACAAACACTGAATAAAAAATGTGTTGTCTCACATTTATGAATTATTTAGAGATAAAATTTTACATTATATTCATAATAAGATGTAAAATGTATAACTAACGTAACAATAATAGACCACAAATATAATGCGAATTATCTGTGCTAGAGCTGTTTTGCATATGCATAGATATTTGATAAATTATTTAAACGAGTCGTTGTATCGTTGATTTTTTTGCGCTTTTCAAGCGAATGATTAATTGAAGCACAAAGATCGCGGCGTGGCAATGCACTTCTATCACATTGTTAATAGTATTATATAAAACACGACAATCGATCACGCGTGTGTCTCGAGCGACGTCGAGTCGTCCTCTTCCTCTTTCACGCGGAGAAAAGTACGATAATGTGCGAAAGTGTATCCGAGAGTACCGAGACACGCGCCCATTTTACACGAACGTAAATAAACGAATCGCATTGTTATCTACTTAACAGTGGACTGTCAGTCGAGCGAGCGCGTATTATCGGTCGAACCTTTGAACCCCGCGAGAGAGAAGCTTTTCCGCGGCGAAAAATCCGTTCCCCTCTCCTAGCGATAAAACCAACCTACCAACCCTTCGTCGTTCCGACCACTTAGACACCCGTGACGTGCGTGCACCGTGACGTCGATTATACCGGTCATTAAATCTTGATGCGACTAGGAACCGCATCGAGGCCGGTAACACCTGACGCGGCCTCTAATCGCAAGAAGACAATCGCGGTTGAGTCACGGAAGGAGGTACAGCGACGCAATTACAAGTTGTAATGACACGAAATCTGGATATTAACGGCACCACGGAGACACGGAGTCAAGCCTATCTCTGTGTCGAAAAGCACGAACAAAATTTAATTCGCTTAAATCTCACGTCTTCGTCGAGACGCCGCGCGAGGAAATAAATCTCCACGAAATTCTCGACATAATCATAGAGCAACGTCGCGATTCAGCCGTTTGCGTCATAATAATAATAGTCTGCGGGATCAGCGTAATTTTTTTTTCGCTAATGTAAGGTCGCTTCGATGATATTTCTCCAACGACGTTTTTTTTTCTCTCTGTCTATTCTTGTATAATGCTTCGATGTCTCGGAAACGACTTATTAAGAAAAAAAAGTGAAGGAACGTGAATTCAATCAAAAAATACGTGAAAAACGTTTCTATCCTATTCGTCTCCGCTCAAGAAAAAATTTCCTTTATCGTCATCATGTCGAGCATCGCTTATTTTTCTCGCCGGCAATATCTATCGCAGCGTTCATTAATTAAGCGTTGCCGCTTTATTGGTAGACACTTTAAATAAGCCGACGCGATATGCTATTAATTTTGCATACAGCTGCGCGCGCTTGTGTGTCGCGAACATACTTTGTCTTCTCTTCCTCGCGGCCGAGAAAGAAGAGGAGACGAGCTGACCCGACTGTCTATGCTCGATATCAGCGAGCTTGATAAAACAAATTGTAAACACGGCATGTGATTTCCACCGAGACGAGAGTACGTAAATCAGGGATGTAACTTCCATACGAATGGTCCCGATGAAAAATCCGAAGGTATGGGTCTTATTCCGTTACAACACGGCGCACAAGCAAATATATTGATAAATTAAATTATACAATTAAATGATACAAAATCAGATATTACAAAAATATTTTGTTTATGCCGCAGACCATCTAGATCCTATTAAATTGGCGAAGAAAGAGTGTAAAAGAAAGAGCGCCGCCTTCCTCGAAGAGCACCCTTTCGGGAGCAACGAACTAATCTCTTCTTGTGCAACAAAAATGAAGCGGTGCCTGCGGCGAGGTTAATTAGCAAAAATCATGGGAGAGCAGATAAGACAGTTTTCACCTCTCTTTCTCTCTTTCCTTGCTTCCCTATCTCCCTCCTTCTCTTTCGCTGGAACCCCTCGTCGCTCCTCTTTCCGTCCTAAGTCATCCCGCTCTTTCTTCTTCTCCCACCGTCGCTTTCGTTAAATCGAAGACAGGAGGGGAACTCCTATCGAACGAATAAAAGGCTTTTCGTCTGCGGCCGGCGACGAAGCCGGCTGCAATAAAAGCTTAATTTATAAGCCGACCCTCGACCTCGTCTTGGCAAACGAGGGGGGTGCGCTGCTATCTTTACATAAGCGCGGACATGCAAGTACGATGTTAAAAACAGGCATTCGTGAAAAAAATGGAACGCGAATAGAATAACATATTTGCAATTTTCTAAAAAAAAAAACAGAAAAACAAATTGCACGCTTATCGTACACAATTATTAGATTACTAATATAAACGCAAAAGAAATTTAAATTAGTCGTCGGCAGCGATGATATTGCGGATGTCGAGGTATCGAGTTGTCTAATCGAAAGCGAAACGGCGGGAAACCATTAAGGGTCAAACCCGTTCCCGAGATGACACGACCGTAATTTCGGATTTTTGTTTCCGAGTGAAAAGCCGGCGTAACCCTTTAATTTCGATGTTTTCGGAGTCATCGGCCGCGCCCACGGTGGCCGGCGGCGCGACACGGCGGTCCCCCCGCGGGGGAATGTGAATGTCGTTGATTGTGGCGGGAACGGGCTTCCGGCTCCGCCGCCGAAGTCGCGGTCGAAACTCAAACGGCATGTAATCCCTTGTTATATCCCGAATCGCAAGAATTATCTTGCTTAATGTAGGCGCAATTGCGCGTACCGTCGATAATAAAATGGATAGCGCGTCGTTAGTTCCCTTCTCGCGGTCATTCGATTACATCGCTGATTACCAGCAAATTACGTACTAATATTGCCTTTAATATTGCGTACCGCTTATACTTATTTTTTTGTACAATTCCCATTGGGCCGGCTTTCGTATGGCCCATGAAAATGCTGAAATGTTGCATTAACTGTACAACTTCAATTGTTATTTATTTGAAAAGAAAAATGTAGAAAAGTATCTCATACTTGATTCTTGTTTTTTTTTTATTTATATCGTCTTTTGAAAATACCATCAAATATAACGCATTTAAAAGGAAAAATACAATTAGTTATAAACGTATTTTACTAGACATAACAATAGATAGAAATAATTGTTCATAAAATTATGACGGTCAGTATGAACCGGCACTTCCGATCCACCCACGGGGACCGGAACTGCACGCATAGTCGGCTCGCTGTCGCGCCGCGGATGCCCCCCTCCTAGTTGCAGTGAGAAACTCGCCCAAAGTCATTTCACGCCCGGCAGAGCGCGGAAACGAGCATTTACTCGAGATTTCGTTCATAAATCAGGACCTGCCTGAGAGTGTCCTGCCCCTCGCTGCTCCCCGTTACACTCCTGCAGTCCGCTACGGTTCATGGGGGTTCCACTAGTAGTCAACAATGGAATCTGAAAGCGATTAAGCAAAATCGCTGCGGAAATCAGCATTTTCAACGGACGGACAACATGACGGACGAATAAAATTATCGCAGGCACAATATTAATACAATCGTTCGATTTTTATGAGTATGAGAGAGGCAGGAATTGATGGTAAAAAATTCTTTCTTGCAATAAAAAGATTATCATTATATAATCTATAATTTGTTACGAAGAAACTTCTTTTAGACAAAAAGTTATATATTAATTAATCGTAACAATTTCAGAATCAACATTATCAATGAACATTTCACATTCTGGCAATATCACAGAAGAAACTGATATACCTGCGAGAAAAAAACAGGAAGTAACAGTCTGTCAATATGATAATGACAAAGACGTAAAATTTTATCTCGCGGACGCGATGTATGTTACAGCTTCGCCCACTTCCGCCGGCGCGATATTTATATTTCCTCGCGGGAAAACTTGAGGGAAAAAGACGACTATCGAGAAAATGTGGCGACCGTGATATTATTTTGATTTGGAAATCAACAGGTGGATCGCCGACAGCCGGGTAGCGAGTGCCAGGATAGCTTATAGAGAGAGCCCGTTTTCCTCCCTCTTCTTCTCTCATACTCGTTTCGGATCATTTTCGATGTTATCCCTGTAGCATATGCCCGATACGGGGCAGATGGCTGAAAGTGTTAAGTTAGCCTACATTGTGCGACACCGGGCGATTTAAAGGAGACCACGTGCACTTACTTTGAATTATCGATCGCGTCGGCTGAATTCATTGGTAGTTCGTTGCCGAAAACCTCGAGCAATAAGAGCTGTCGCATTTGGCAAATTATAGTTTCAACGAGAATTACGAAACGCGCGGCTCGTTGCCATTAATGTTTAAT